ATTTTATGAGTGGACCACAAAGGGGAATAGATAATCGTTGAAAGTTAACATTAGTTCATTAGATTTCTTTCAATTAATTAATCTTTATGTAAGGTATTGGTATTTACTTCAACCAATACCTTTCATAAAGTTTAATTAATTGAAAAAAGTTATTTGGTCAATCAGACCACGAAATCTACTGGATTTAATAAGTAAAATGAAGTAAATCTTCACGAAAGCTCTCCGTGGTCATTTCATTTGTCGCCGAGAATCAAATCCTCTTACACGGCATATGAAAAATGGCAAAAAGAAGGGAAAATTCGAAAGGTGGTTGGGTTGGGAAGTTGGTGTCCGAGTGGATCCAAGTCACGATAGCTCAAGTGGTAGAGAAGCGGCGCATTTAGCCAAAGGTCGTGGGTTCGAATCCCGCTCGTGACACTCGCTTTTTTATTTCAACCAATACCTTATATTAGACCAGCCCTGGTGGTGTGCCAAATAAATAACATTTAAAAGAAGCAGGTGCATATAAATATTTGTAATGTTTAATAAGCAGTAACTAATATAAATCATTTTGAACTACTTGCTTCTGCCCGGTTGTGAGCTTTCAAAGTATTTACCTTTGAAGGTGGGACTTATTGAACTAAACTACTCGAAAATGAATAAGTATATTTGTAATTTATTCTTATTCTATAAAATTTAATTTAATTAACCGAGATATTCTTGTTAGTTGGATAAAACAGTATAGAAAATACAAACCAAAAACAAACAAATATTAATTTTCATTTTTCATAACGGATTTACTTAATCTGATCATGATTATAATCATGAAGTTATAATGATGAAGTAATCATGAAGATAACTCATTTTGTAAACAAACACATTTTCTCGTCTTTTCTCCATTTTAATCCAGTTGTATTTTCTTTAACCATGGAAAGACAACGTATTAAACCACAAGTTAGCAATATTATTGTGAAAATGAATCATCGAGGTCACCGGCAAGTGAATTTCGCACAGGCAGTTGGCGTTCATCAGAGCGTGGTCTCCCGGGCCGATACCGAGACTGGAAGTGCCCATAGGGGGCCTGGTAGTGGATCTCAGCACATTACGACTCCAAGGGAGGACAGAAAAATTGTCATTGCTGCAATGCGGAACCCTTTCCATAGTGCCCGCCAAATCCTAAATGAGGTACAAGATGTTTGGGCAAAGCCTTTATCCATACAAATGATTCGTATTCGTTTGTGGGAATTTGGCCTCACATGGTATGCGCCTTTGAGTCGACCTGCAGCAACATCCCGCCACCGGTAACTCCGAAGGATATAGTACAGCGAGCGCCTAGACCTGGACCTAGAAGAGAACAAACAAATTGGAATGCTGTTATGTTTACAGATGAATCGCGTTTAAGCGTGTATAGTGATAGCAGGCGCCGATCGAGAACAAGGGATGCGTTCAATACCCCGGTTTGTGCTCCCTTTAGTGCTGTTTGGAGGAGGCGGTGTAATGGTTTGGGCTGGGATTTACACTGGAGGACGAACTGGATTCCATATTGTTGAAGGCAACCTCACCGCAGTCTGTTATGCCCAAAAAATTACCGAGGAGTCCCTCAACCCAGGGGTCTCAAAGGGAGGGATTTTCGATTACAAGATGACAAGAAAATCTGGGAATTTCCCATCCGCCTCTTACCCCATTGTCGCCAGACCTAAATTCCATTGAGCACATGTCGGGTGCGTTGCAGAGAAGGCTTTTTGATCATCATCCGCAACCAGTTGACCTACAACAATTGATTGGAGTGTTGCAACATCTATGGAGTGAAATTATGGACTTACTGACAACCTTGGTAACAGTATGCCTCACAGGTGCACAGAGGTTTTAGCAAACAGAGGACATTATGCACAGTGTTAATTGTTTAAAAAAATTATTGTGTCCAATACACACAATTATGGAATTAAAACCTTTTAGTTTATTTTTTTCAAAATCCCTTAATTAAATTTTCCTTCAGTAAAAACATAGTAATTTCTAATAAATTTTAATGAATTTAAAATTAAAATAAAGTAAAAATGTTAGGGAAAGTAAATGCAACAAAATTGCCAATATCACTATTCATTTTTGAGCAGGTTGCTTTGAAATATTGAAACAATAAAGACAAACGTTTCTATTTTTCTGGTGGATGGGTTGATGAATGGCTTTTTAAAGGTAAGTATTTTTTAAGAAAATACTGTAATTACAGAACATGAAAGGAGGTTTACAACCTATTTTCTAAACATGAATGTTATGCTAATATTATAAAAAAAAGTAGATTATATTTTACCACAGTTGCCATGGATAAATATTTTTTACAAGCTGATACGCCTATAATAAAGAAATGCGATATTATAAACTTCAGCCTTCGACGAAAACAGAAGGCATATTTAGGCAGTTATTGTCATCAAGTAATCAACTTGACTGTAGACTTCGTGTCTATCGATATATTAATTAAAGGTAAATATCGGGGGGGGGGGGAGCAAACGTTTGACCTAAATTACTCCCCGGCATGGTACACCCGAATTAACCTCGTTTTCCCTCTAATAATGTATTCCTGATATTTTTCTTTCATAAAATTCCAACATGGAATTAATGTGCAATTTGCATGAGTTTTTTTAATTAGAAAATACCTTTTGGGGCATTCACAAATATTACAATAAGAACAATAAAGGTCAGGCTTTATCTAAGGTAAAACATTCTGAAAACCTTAAAACCAATGTTACTACTCAGCATACATAGACTAACGTAAACACTGACGGTTTGTCTTTTTTTCATTTAAAAGCTTCTTCTCTGTTCTGAACAACAAAAAGCTAGATCGCCACGACTTTGGCATGATGGATTCATTGTTAGTAAAACATGACACATTTGACTCTCGGTTGCTTCAAAATTTCTATTTCCAGATCCCATTGGAGCTAACTGTTACGAATGTACCAAGGAGCAATTGTAAAAAAGTATGAATTGGGACTCTTTCATTTTTTATGTAGTTTGTTCATGTAAGTCGATTTATTTTTTTCGACCTCGTTTTCGTTGAAACTAGATTTTTGGAAAGAAAGACAAGCACTGAGTTATTAAAATCCGTCCAATAGAACCGGAGATACGATTTTTTGAAAATAGCCGGAATGCTGTTCCGGTGCGTTAGGTCGAAACCACTTTATTTTCTTTCTACTGCAAATATTTTGAAGAGGAGTGGAAAATCGGCCAAAGTAGAGAGAAAAATCTGATAGCTTACTAAATTTCCTTCCATATACTATAAATTTTGTATTTTGTTTTTCCATAGGACATAATTCTTATCCCACCTCCTTTCCCAACCGGAGTTGGGACCAGCCAAAGAAGAGTTAATAATTAATCATAACTATTGCTATCTGGGAATAGAAAGGTTAAATAGCAAATCAAAGGAATGTAAAAACTAACGCTGTTTATTTTTCGTTTTCAGACACTTGTTGGGACAAGCCTTTTCTTATCTGGGTTAAAAATATGCGAAAAACTCAAAATTCAATTTTTTAAAACTCAAACTGTAATTTCTTATAAAACGGAAGAAAAAAAACCTCATGAAAATATTACAACTGTTCGAAATGTCCACCCTGTTGAAAATATGCAAGCCCCCGATCGCCTCAACCATACATCGCACACACCACGGCTTCCCTGTCAAGAGACACAAAATACGAAATTTATGGGATTTGGCAGGAAATTTATTTTCTCTCTATTTTGGCCGATTTTCCACTTCTCTTCAAAATATTTACAATAGAAGGCAAAATAAAGTGGTTCCGACCTAACGCACTAGAACAGCATTCCGGCTATTTTCAAAAAATCGTATCTCCGCTTCTATTGGACCGATTTTAATAACTCAGCGCTCATCTTTTTCGCCAAAAATCTAGTTTCAACGAAAACATGTGAAAATGGGGGTTCTCATTTAATATTAATAATATGAATTCGACTTATGTCGAATCGGGGTCGAAAAAAATAAATCCACCTTACATGAACAAACTACATGAATAATGAAGGGGAGTCTCAATTCATACTTTTTTCCTATTAGCTTGTGCATATATATATCGAAATTGTCAGTGCGCATTTGTTTTTTAATATAAATCCGATTTTCCTGGGGAAGCTGAAACGCGCTTGCAGCCAACCATCGCCTACAGTCACGTTAATAGTCAGTAACGATCAAATGACGTGATTTCAGACACGAGCCCCTATTTAACAATAAGTTATAAATCGTGTTGTATAGACATCAATTTTGCCGTTATCGAATTTCACGGTTGCATTAAATCTAAACCCTCGGGGAATCTGAGTCCAACCTAGGGCCGAAACACGTTTGAGAGTTAACAAAAAACGAATTACTTAAAACTGAAATTAAGGGACAAATTAAATGAAACCAAGCCCGTACACGTAAACTGTACAAGTAAAGTTTTCAATCAAGTATTTTGGTATTGTTTCTTGAACTAGGCACGCTGGAAAATACTTGGGAAAAAATATGAGACGTGTATTGGCAAATAGAGGCCAGATATGTGATACTCATATAGTAATTATCGAAGAAATCGAAGTTACCAGATTGATGTGAAGATTTGATTGTGCTTAAATAGCCTTGTGCACTGCCTCCATCATATGGACATATACTCTTCATACGGGCTCGGTTCAGCCTTTTTATTACCTTTCATGCCTTGATGGAGAAAGCCATGTGTTATACCTTTTAAGAACGGCACAAGCTATGTTTGGCAAAGTTTTAATACTTTCTTCCTTTTGTAACTACTTTTCGGAACTGCGGAGTCGACGGTCGAAGAAGAGTTACGAAACTGGATGGCCTGCTATGTCATCTGGAGGGGGGGGCCTTTATCGGGCCGGAAAATACTGCGGAAAACCAAGTAAGCCAAGAGAGAAAATGCGAGGAAATCCTTTTCCAATGGTAATTAACGGGACATGTGTAGTCGAAGATTCACATTCTTCGTCCCTTTTGAACAAGCTAAATTAGTTCAGAAAGAATATAAGCTTAATATTTTTTATAAATTGTGAGATCAGGTGGCGACGACCGGCAGGTGACGGAGCACATGCCACGTGTTAACATATGTGAAACGGTGAATTACAATGTAGTACAGGTACTCGGGCGGACGGACCAAGAAGAGGATGAACACCGCTCGAAGTAAATAATTTTTTAAAACCCTTTAACGTTCATTACGGTACGGTCATATCGTGAAAAGTTTGTAAAAAAATTTGTGAAATAGTGGTGATATGTTTACAAGGCGATATTGTGATCGAATGTCGGAAGATAAATAAATACTCCTAACATACCTTAAGGAACAAATGCGTTGAAATATATATTTACCTGAAAAAATTACACATAAAATTAAATATAATATAAAATACATATAAAAAAGTTTTCAACAATAGCAAATTTTGTGCTGGAAAGTACATTTAAAAAATGCTGCTTCATCAAAGGCCAATTTTTATACGCTTATAGTTTTTGTCTTAAAAAATTATCCTCTGCAAATAAATAAGAGATAATATTTTTTACAGGCAAAATGCAACAGACATTGGACACACAAAAAGCAGACAAGAGTTCTCATTGCATTTATCCTCCCCTGCAGTCGGTTACCACCAGAATCTTCCAGATGTAGATTTCCCTCTCGATAAGCAAGGTGGTAGGATTTTATTTGTGTATTTTACGTTTTATGTAAAACTATAAATCATATCAAGGTCTTCTCTTCCATAAAGTTTGGTTCAAATGGATCAATTATGCGTTGGTGCAAAAAATGAGTCTGTTCTGTAGTTGGATATCTGCTCATCTTGGTCTGCCTGGCCTCGCTGGTTGTTTCTCTCTGTACACTCTAAATGATAAAATTCACTAAAATCAGGTTGAATAGGCGGACAAAGGTGAGCTTAAAAAAACAACAACTACAAATTCAACATCCCGAAGACCTAATCAAACTATCGCACATCTATTGAATTGTAAAATGTTTATATGTATACATATATACGTATATATATACATATATATATATATATATATATTTCAATTCAATAACTGTATGGATATACATATATAAATATATACAACTGGGATGTAACTGTTGCACTGTAGTTACATCCTCTTCATGCCAATTAATTCATTCATATCCATTATTTTGTTTTAAAAAAGGTATATTTTTTAAATATAGGCCCACCAAAGGTTTTCGAATTTTTTTGAAAAATTTGAAACGACTTATCCGATCCACAGGATTGGAAAGTCTATAAACTCACGTCACGGACCAAACTTGTTCTGAGAAAAAATATTAAAGTTGGCGATATAAAACAACACGGTGTAAGAGGCTTTCATTGATTTCTCACTTATAATGACATGATAAGAAATCACGTTATTTGGATAGGCTGAAAGGAGAGATAATCAGCTTTCCAGCGGTTGTAATAACCCTGGATTTGGATAAAATTCAGAGGAGTTATGAAATTTTTAAGTGGAACAATGGACATCGGTGAAAAAAATGAACCTGGCGAATCGAACCTACAATTTGTTTTTTTCTATAAAAATATGGGAAAGGGTGCTTAAAACGGTTTCCTATTTGCTTTTTCAACAAAAATTTGATAGAACCTCGAATAAGGCCTAAAACCATCTCCTCAATATGTCTCTCACAAAACTATTTACAACAAATGAAGTATCCTATGTCCTAAGCCATTTAGCACTAAAGACTGGAAATTTTCTCTTATCCAAAGCCAAAAAACCTAATAACCTTCCATTACCCTAACGACCAATTCTAGGATCTTGCCTATAGTGTCCACTCAAGGCTACTAACTCAAGAAAGCTACTGGAAATTTTCCCTTATCCAAAGCCAAAAAACCTAATAACCTTCCATTACCCTAACGACCAATTCTAGGATCTTGCCTATAGTGTCCTCACGATACTCAAGGCTACTAACTCAAGAAAGCCCTCCTGCAGCTATATCCTAAAATCCTTCTTAGCGGAGATACATTCAGCCATAACCATAGGTCCGTACTGATACAAAGATACTCCTAAGAGGATCCTGATGATACCGCCATCCTTTGCTCTCATTAAGATTCCGTCATCTCAATCAGAAACCAGACCTAGGTCCTTTGTCTAGTAGTTGAAGAGGTTAAAGATGGCAATAAACTTACAAAACTGTGAACATAAAAGGTCCAGCAACGTAAAATAATTCCTGTCGTATAATTCAAGAGAGTCAACTACCCGTTGTGTGTCGCAGACGAGAGTCAAACCATTTTACAATACTTCTTTCGCACTATTCTCAATTAAAAACCATAGGCTACGGGATTCAGAAATCACTCGCCTACCGCATCTTTCTAAACCGTATATATAAAGCACAAATTAAAAGGGACTCAACAGTCATCCCTGTTTAGCAACGCTATTTACATTAAATTATTTTCTCCCCTCCCTTAAAATTAACCTCTTGGTAGAAGGTGGTGCTGGTTTGATTGTTAGCATGAGTACTTTTTCTTCGCTGCGACACACAAGGAATTATCTACTTGGATCACCAACCTTCGAGAGAAATTAAGAAAATGCTTAGATACCAGTGATCATCATTAAATCATAAAGCCTGAGCGGGAAATGACAATAAACTTACAAAAATGTGAACATGACACTTTCACCTTGGAAGAATAACGACGGCTCCAGTTTACTACAATAGTATCCATCTCCCCACTATGTAATGTTACTACCTAGGGCGCATTGACAAACGACTTACACGAAGCCACACACGAACTCAAAAGACTGCTGGGCAATCGATAAAAACTGACTCTACAAACCAAACTTCTCATTTATATTACAATTGGACATACAGCACTACAGGGTTCAACCAAACGATTGTATACATACAATCTCACCATTCATAATAACCCTAATAGCCATGCTGTCCTTGAAGTAGCCACAAGGAGCTGCAAGAAGTTTCAAAAACACATATCCGTTCCCACAAACCCTCATGTTAGAAACATTTCCTCCAGCGCTTTTTCAAATTAATCCTACCCGATTATTGAAGCCTTATTTCTCGGCCAGCTAAGTGCTAGTGATTAAAGGCAAAGGAGGCTTAGTAATAAGTTTCTTCTGTTTTATATTTTCAATTTAGTTCATTTTGCTCCTTTGGCCCATTGGTAAGAACGCTTGGAAACACTGTCTATTACTGTTCGACCTCGTATCACAAGAAGAAGAAAATAAAGGTTCCAGCCCAAGTCAACAGCCTCTGCCAAATTTCAAAACCAATTCGATTATTTGTGTTAATAAAGGATGCACCTCTATCAAAAAGTGTTAGACGATTAAAGAAAGACTGCCTATAGCATTTAAATTAACAATAATCCAACCACCTTTTAAAATTATTACTGTTATTAATAATAACAATGAGAAGAAACTCGGATCGGCTATCAACCAGAGAACTTTTTTGCTGAAATGCAGACAACACAAGGCCGTGAAGATGATCTCAATAAAGATGGAAACGTTGGCACGACAAAGAAAATGTTTTTCTGAAACCTACATCACACCAAACCGCATCTCACGATTTCTGAATAATTATCGATTAACGGTCACTAATCACCACACATTTCCACACGAGAAGAACGAAGAACATGGGATTCTATGAACAAATTTCAACTACATATGGACACGCAGCTAAAGGTACTCTGAAGGACATTGCCAACAATGAGAAGAAACTCGCATCGGCTATCAACCAGAGAACTTTTTTGCTGAAATGCAGACAACACAAGGCCTTGAAGATGATCTCTATAAAGATCGAAACGTCGATAAAGAAAATGTTTTTCTGAAACCTACATCAACCAGACCGCATCTCACGATTTCTGAATAGTTCAACAGTCCAGCATTTTTCAGTCTTAGAGAACGGCCGAGTTTGTTTTAGAATTGTAATATGATGGCGTATCACAGACTGATTTATTCAGCAATAAAACATCTTCAAAGACCAGTAGTGCATGATTCCTTTTTGACGTCACAATTCTTCATACTGCCTCCTTTGCTTCGTGGACCGTAAGTGGACCAGCGGCTAGCTCAAACAGCAATTATCCAATTATTTCTTTACGGTCATTATGGGTTAGAAAAGAAGGTAAAATTAAAATCTCGACATTAGGGGTAAAGGATTACAACACAATAAAAAACTGTGCCTAAATAACAACGAAAACTTCTAATTAGTAAAGTTTTGCTCAGTCCGGGCAGGGGTTTCGGTTCAATTATCAGTCTTGAACTTTCGGTATTATTTTTTTTCTCGGTTTTATCTCAACAGATAAAATGCCCATCAGCGTGTTTTATGGATTCACTCATAATTTTTGGCCATTAGCATGTAATTTATATCATGCAGGAGGGCTAACGTCCGACAACCAACTATGTCGCGGACGTGGGATCAAACAACTTAACAATGCTTTTGTTATATTATGTTCAATCAAAATTCTACGGACTATGCCGGGATTCGAACCCAGAACCGGATAGTGTGGCGAAAACGATTCGGACACTCGATCTTTTTTTTTTGCAGTTATAAAATTCGTTGTTGGGATATGTTATAATATATATTAATTACTTTGTTAAAACTTCTAGGATGCCATGTGTAACTTTTCATCTGGATATCAGGGAACTGGAGTATGCTAACGGTACATAAGGAAGTTTTTGATGGAATATGAAATTTATAGGTAAGCTTGCATATACCAGACAGGCGTGCATTTCTCAAGCTAACGCCTGCAATTCACGGCTGTAACAATCAATTGTTTAAAAAATGTATAGTAAGATTTTTTAAAAGGAAGTCCCGTTCCACAGTCCAACGTTAACTTCAGATTTAAGCATGATTTCTATACAATAATATTTTATAAAAAAGTATTACAGTTGTTAGAAATTAATGTTTTGTTTGTTTTCTGATGATATTAAGTAATTTTGATTTTACTTCTCCGATCGAGACATTTAATCATAGTTGAAATGAGGCCATTTTATCAAAGAAAGCAACTGTATTGAATTTGGAATTCTGATCAAGTAATTAAGGATTTTAGTTGAGATAAAAAAGTCATTATCACGAGCGGGATTCGAACCCACGATCTTCGGTGGGGTTGAGATGGGAAGTTAGTGTCCGAGTGGATCGAGGTCACGATAGCTCAAGTGGTAGAGCAGTGGTGTATCTAGCCGAAGATCGTGGGTTCGAATCCCGCTCGTGACTTTTTTATCTCAATTAAAAACCTTAATTAATTGAAAGATATTAAATGGTCAAGCTGACCACGAAAACTAGTGAATACTTCAAGAGTAAATTTATCCAAAATAATTTCAACTAACATTTAAATAAAATAGAGCGAGTGAGAAACTGTTAAAACAAAATAAAATAAAGAATAAGGGAAGAAATCACATTAAAAACATCAATTCAAAGAACCATCTTCCTTTCAAAAGTAATCGGAAAATAAATTAATGGGTTTTTCCTTCCGTTTTTTTATCGACCGAGTTATTTTGACAGAAGATTTTTAATTAGTTCATTTACATTCTACAGGTGACCAAAAATCAGATAGACGTTAGAGTTTCCAAGGGTCAAACCTACGCCACGATGGAATCCGAAGGTGAAACCGCAAAAGGTAATTAATTATCTTAACTTATTAGTAGTCAAACACTGAAAAGTAATATATAATAGTAAAGCAATAAATTTTTCAAAACACCAGTCGATATGGTGTATGGCGTCAATTGTAAAGAAGTTCGCCCATGGTCGTTCCCAAGCATTTCTGTCCGCCTCATGTCGCTGTTTCGGTCTCTAAGACAAATTTTGACATTTAGACATCTTCAGCGACTGGACGATCTCTTACACCACTCTAGATATTCTGGCACAACACATTAGTAAAACCATGTATCAAGCTCCCTATGATGCAAAACTAATCAAATCACCAAAAACACACCAAGAAAAGTGCGACGTTTTTGCCGAAATTTTAGATCTCGATCCATTCTTCACGCTTACAAAACAGAATCTCTACTACAGCTCAGGCCTTTCAGCAATTCTTCACTACACGAGTCGAGACCAAATGAGAAATTTCATATATATCGTCCCGAACATGAAAACCGCTTGTCATGGAAAAATAGTGCTTCCCCTTGTAAAGCCTTACCTCGTAAAGTTCTAGTTTTTTTTTAAAAATAAACTGTTATAAAATATTAATGACTGACGACCACTGTTTTAACCATTGTAAGTAGTGAAGAAACAACGATAACCATGTTGATCTAAAAATGTAAGAAATATTTGTTCTATGTATAGGCGTTAACTCATCTGAAGATGGATTAAAATAAATCCGAAACGTGTGGATAAAAACTGGTTGTGGTTTTTTTGAGATGACCTATTATCCCACCTTCAAGAAGGAAAAATCATAAGTTCTAGTTTTTCTTTCTTTTAATTCGATAATGCTCGCCAAACAGAAGGAAGCACTCTCATGTTATTGTGATGAAAACCCTAACAAGCAAACTGACGATCATTGCGGATAAGGCCAATATGTCTTAAAACCCATATTGTCAAAAATATTCGAACACGTCTTACTTTAAAACACACTAATAGAGCTCAATTCACTTCTGCCAGACGCACAAGTGGGTTTTAGGCAATATCACATCTGCACTAGGAAGTCGATGCCATCCCAAAAACCTACGAGGGAAGAAGGTATGCCTAGGAAAAGCATTGAAAACTGGAAACTCGGCTAAAAAATATTAAATAGGTATTTTTTGGTTTTTCAATAACGTTGTCTATTTAAGAGATATTCAGCAAGGCCATCTAAAAAGGACACCTTGTACAAAATGCAAGATGCTGAAGATGGTGAAATGCCGAAACGCGTTTGAAACGACCAAAACAGAAATTCCTCGCCCCACAGTTCTTAGAAAGAAATTTTAGTTTATTGTGTACTGATTGGATTTTCTTTTTTTTTTATTCAATTGCTTTTTGTTCTGCCTACTATTGATTCAGTCGCTCCGTTATTTCGGATCATGTTAATAATTTCAACATCTATCGATTCACGGCCGTTCGTGCCGGCACTGTCTCTTTTTCTGGAATGGAAAAACACAGGGATACAAATTACGAATCGATTTATCTTTATTTCGTTAAAAGGATTTCAAATGGAATCCGCCTTTTGTAGAAACGAATGGCCAGGTCAATTGGAGACTCCCGAATGAGCTCATGCAGTCCATTTTTTTTGTATAATTAGCTAAAAGAATATCAACGCTGTTTTGAAACTGTATTCAGTCACGCTCGGGCTATTTCCCTCGTCAGTATTGATCTCAGTTTATAGAATTGATCTTCTAAATGCAAATTATTCCTAATTCTGATGCATATAAAATCTAGTTTTTAGGTTGCATTTAGCATCACATTACTGCTATACGTCGTCGATACGGAAATCGATTATTAGCCGATACTAATTGTTTTAATCAAATTCCATTGAAATTGCCATGTGCGTTAAGGCGAATAAACCACAAAGGTACAACAATAGCTCATCGCTTAACTTGAAATTAATTGGATTTAACGAGAGTTGAAGCCGTTGGTCCCTTCCAGCGCGCGTTTGCATGGAAGGAATCGTGGATCGCATACATATGTTCTAAGTTCTTAGATTCAAATCCACCTCCCTTCAAGTACGATTGAATAAACAATAAGCACGACTTGAGTTGCGCCGAATTCGAAAAGAGAAGAATTAAACTGATGAACACGTGGCCTAGAATCGATGAACAATACTTTCAAATTCAAAGGTTAAAGTTCAATGCCTAGACGTATTGAAAAAAAGATAATTCAGCGCGTTGAAATAAAAGGAAAAAATGATAAATCGAAATTCTTTAAGTGAATCGTTAATGAAAAGCAAATTACACATAATTACTCTTTCACGCCTTTAGGTTTGATCTGCATTATCGTTTTTTGAATTGGTCAGCGCATAGAAAATGAATTAAAAAAATATTTAGAACTTTTAAGATAACGAAAAATGAAAATTTTACTAATTATCACCAAAATTATTAATTACATTTTTTTTCAACAACCATGTCACTTATTGGGTCAATCTACACTGCTGGTATCTATTGTGCATCACTCAAACTCGTTATGCGCTATCTTCAGTGAGAAAATCTGTTTAGTTACTGACATCCTCAGTGAAGATTGAGCAAAATAGTGCCAGTTCAACATAGTTCCCCTACGCGCCGACCAACGCCCACCGTCAAAAATAAAGATAATCCATAATTTCAATTAATTATTCTTTTTATCTAAGATCTTGTTTGAGATGAAAAAGTGACACGAGCGGGATCGAACCCACGACTTTCGGCTAGCCGTGTAGCTACATACCCGAAAGTCTAGAGTTCGAATCCCATTCGTGGCTTTTTCATCTCAACCAAGACCTTAGACAAAAAGAATAATTAATTATAATAATTAATATGATCAATTATGTTTGCTAAACATATATGGATTATTCATAAAGGAAAATAAGAAGGAGAATAGAAGCGAAAAAGAAGGCCATAATTACAACAGCTTATGCCTTCTGGAATTGTCCTAAAAACAACGGAATAAAGAATAATGGAAAATAATAATGAATAAAAAGACCACAACTACAACCCACATCTTCAAAAATTATGCGTAAAATCATAGAAAAAGGACCATAATTACAACAAACTATGACTTTTACATTGGGCTAAGAATACACTGGAGAAAAGCCTATAATAAAAAATAAGAAAGATAATCAAAGGGAAAAAAGAGGATCGTTATCACAACAATCTAATTAAAACCATACAAAACTTCTGAAATTGTCCTAAAATCACAATCTTCAAGATTATCCATAACAGAAAATTAGGGGATAATAAAAAATAAAACCATACAAATAAGACCATAATTCCAACAACCTTTGAATTTTGAAATTGGCCTAATAGCAAAACAACAATGTTATTATTATTATTGTTATTGTTATTTTAATTTTTTTTAACGAGAGTTCGCAACAGCAGAGGTCATATAAACCCTCAGGGTGCCGGTGTTTTTGAAAAAAATCCCATTTGTAAGTATGTCGGGCTCGAATGCAAGGCCGCTGGATTCGAACCCGGGACCTTTACCTTACAACATACGACTTTTGAAATTGGTCTAAAAACAACATACCAAATATTATATAGTAAGGGGGTAATAAAAAATAGACAATAATTACAACACCTTAATTAAAACACCATAAAACTTTTAAAATTAATCTACAAAACCTGTAATGATTATCCATTATAGAAAATAAGATGGGTAATAAAAAAAAAGAAAACGACAATAACAATAACCTATGATTTCATTTAAAAAAAATCACACTAAATATTATCCATAATGAAAAATAAGAAGAAATAAAGGGGAAAAAGAAGACCATAATTACATCAACTTATGATTTCTGAAATTGGTGTAAAACAACACACTAATTATTATGCGTAAGAAAAAGCATAACAAAGAAAAATATTGTCTGGGTACCAGGACACGTCGGGCTGGAGGGCAACGAACGTGCAGACGAAGCAGCAAAAGCTGGGACGTCCCGCCCTCCAGACCAAGTTACCGCGATCCGGCCCGGTGACGCTGTGCGAGCAGTAAAGAACNCACCACACATAAAAATTATACAATTTATCATAAAATATGAATAAAAATTTAGTAAAAAAATTAGAATTTTATTTACAAACGAATAAACCCGAATACTATTTTGTTAGGAAAAAACTGGAACCGTGTACAAATAAGTGGTCAAATAAATATGGATAACTTTGGCTGCGGACAAACGTTCACCGAGCGACATTTAGAACTTATATAATTTTTGTTTTATATATAGTTGTTGTTTGCTTAACTGTCCGTTTTACGGAGACTCGGATTGGGAATGACAGATTGGGGCCTCGATGAATCCATGGGAACCTGAAACGTACAGAATAAAGAACTATTTATGCCATGGAACACTGTTTTCTTTTCCACACTAACCATGAAAATAAAATTTCATATAACCGAGTAAATTAATAAATCTCGGTTTGTATGGTTATCGAAATGCTGTATTTTAGCTTGGATCCAAATAGAAAATGGGCAAATTTACCATTCCGGGCCACGCACCTCTCCGAGTACAAACAATCCCATAAAAAACTGCATAATGTACGACCCGGGATCACGCGACGTAGGGGTCCCTGCGTGCATTTACCGAATCTGAATAATGCACCTTTGAAAGTTGTTTTCCCGGCTAGTTGGGAGCTCTATTATGCATTCGTGGGATCGATGTGCTACAGAATACCGCCCATATCAATATTCCAGATGATACGTGATATCGCCGGATAGGAGGCGACCATCCGTGTGATTTCCGCTGTGTGGGACGAACTTCAAACATGCTTAACCTCCCTCGTTAATACATTTCTGTAATCTCCTTTGCTTGAATTTTCCAACCCGGCTTAAGAATAAAAGGGGGGAAAATCCAATAAGCCAGTGAACAAAAATTTAGCCCCGAGACGTTAAAAAGGGAAGCGCACTTTATTTCTAAAGGCTCTTTTATTTCACAAAAGATGAAATCATCTCTTTTCATCTTTCACAAAGGTCCCATAGGAACACCTCAGCCCTGGAGATGCCGACATTACCCGATCAGGGAACTCAAGATCAATGCAGCAACTTATCCGGCGTGAACAAACCAAACTGGGGATTACACAAATTAACAATAATGATTTTCAAATAAAAAATTATGAAGCTGAATTACGAATAATTGTAAACTACAGTGATATGGAACCTGAGAAAAATTACTATCGGAATCAGTTTATTCCTTTACAGAAATTAGCCTTTCCGAAATGATTTAATCGACACCAAGAATGTTGCCTTAAAAAAATGGACTAGAGTGAAAAACGAAAAGTACCTAAAATAAAGACCACCACGGATTCAACATTGTTCAGGAAAATGGACAGATTGGTAATTTATAAAAAAATGACCAGTCGAGAAACACCGCTTATTTTTATCGTACATACAATGGGAAAGAGAATATATCAAGTGTTCGTTCTACCATGCTAAATTTCCCCAAACGAGTCAATAACATTAAGTGAGTTTATGCGACTTTACAAAACTTTATGTATTTCATTCCATTAGATTTCGTGGTCCGATTGACCAAATAATCTTTTTAATTAATTAATTATTATGTAAGGTATTGGTTGAGATAAAAACGTCAGTGTCACGAGTGGGATTCGAACCCACCACCTGCAGAAAAATACGCTACTGCTCTAACCAACCACTTGAGCTATCGTGACTTCGATCCACTCGGACACTCTCTCCCCATCTCATCCTGCCTTTCGAATTTGAAAAATGGCAAAAGGAGGGAAAATTCGAGAGGTGAGGTAGAGATGGGTAGTTAGTGCCCGAGAGGATCGAAGTCACGATAGCTCAAGTTAGAGCAGCGGCCTAATCAGCCGAGGCTCGTGGGTTCGAATCCCGCTCGTGACACTAACTTTCTCATTTCAACCAATACCTTACATAAAGATTAGTTAATTGAAAGAAGTTAATTTTATTTTTTTATTGAAAGTACTTTTATGGATAGTTTCGTAAGGTGTAGAAATATTACTTTTCTGGCATTGGGCACTGAAGAAGAGGTGAATCCAAAACCTCTAAAACCTGTGGCAGCATAACAAGCTAAGATCTTCAGTGCCTGGCACAAAGGAATTTTAACCATCAGACAAACTGGACTGAAGAGGATATGTAAAACCAAATAAAAGCAAATATAATTGGGATTATATGATCAAAAATAGACTCTTCCATCGGTTCACAATAGACAAAAGCATAAATCGACGACCTCTAGTTGTGCGTGGTATTGTAAACTCAAGGCAAAAATAATCGTAGCCAAAAATTGAGAAATACATTGCTATAGTTAAACAGAAGACATAGAGTGAGTGAGATTGAGAAAAAAGTGATAGGGTTGTATATCGATCATTGGTATTCAACGATGACCCCATTTGTAGGTTATGCAATGCAACCTCTCACTGGAGACATAATCTAGCGTGTTGAACTGACACTGGAAACTTACTGCGTTCGTTTACGCTCGAGGTACTCGCAGACCCACTAAGGTTATCAAGAAGACCCGAAAAATAATGACACTAATAACAGTCAATCATCCACTCATTCTTAAAAGATGCCAATTGAACTGAACTAAAGAACAAGGTAAAGTAGAAAAAGCTAGGAGATTACCGTACTTTGGGATACCAAACCCCTCGCTTCTTGGTTGTCATCAACTCGGCCTTTACGTCAGGCACGTCCTTTTAATAGTATTACGATTGGTAAAACTGACATTTTGAGAAAAACGGAGAATAGTTTTATGTCTAAACAAGTATGACAGCATAAAAAGTCAGACGTAGAAGTGTCGTAAAGTGCAAACAAGTGACATCAAAGTAAACTACTTTTCTTATTTACAAAGGAACCATTTTCAAGAGATTTTATTCGTAGACCAAACTTTTAATATTTAGGACAAATTATAGGCAGCGAAGGAAATGGTAAATTGCGGAGATTGAGAAGTGCAAGACAGCTAATGAGCAATGAAAATTGGTTGCCATTTTACCAACCGTTATTGAAACATACCAAGAAGATCCTTGGTTCAACTCGCCTACAATCTACAATGCCATTTTGCGAATCACACATTTTCCCACGAAATGGAAGCCCACCGACGCAAACCAACCGAAACTTAAAAGATCCTGGAATTATCAGCTAATTAGCCCCAATTTCCCAAATATTTGGAAAGCTTATGCTCCCTACTATGTAAGCACTTAATCACTGGTGTGCTGTGGTACGTCAAGAACGAAAAATCCGTGCTAGAAGTAAGATGTAGTAAAGAATGCCCTCACTACAAACCACTATGGAAACACAACAACCCTACCCTGGCGGAATATGAGGTAGCTCTCGATCTTGACGACTTAAGTGTAAACGAACATAAAACATAACTTCGGATTGAAATCATCATAGTGTTGTTCTTATTATTATTGTTGTTGTAATTATTTCATTATAAATTGTTGTTAAGACTCGCTGGGCAGCATGGTTACTTACTCTGCTAGCCTAAGGAAAGGACAAGAATATAAGGTTATCAATCAATCATTATTCTTTACAACATTCAATTAATTAAGGTTTTAAGTTGAGATAAAAAAGTCAGTGTCACGAGGGGGATTCGAACCCACGACCTTCGGCTTGATACGCCGCTACTCTACCACTTAGCTATCGTGACTTCGATCCCCTCGGGCACTAACTTCCCATCTCAAGCACACCTTTTGAATTTTCCCTCCTTTTTGCCATTTTTCAAATGTCGTGTAATCGGATTGGATTCTCGGCGTCAAATAAAATGACCACGGAGAGCTTTAGTGAAGTGTACTTCATTTCAATTCATTAAATTCACTATTTTTCGTGGTCCGCTTGACCAATTAATAACATTCAATTAATTGGTTAAGCGGACCACGAAAAATTATGAATTCTTTACAACTTTGAAGATTGGTTGTATCCAAAAATAATACGAACAAAGTGAATGCAATAAAAAAGGAATTCCTAAAGAAGTACCCTGAGATAAATATTATAAAAGTTGCCAAATTCGCAAACAAGTAAAGAAATGAAGGAGATAGAAAAAATTTATAAAAGAATCGTCGTGGTATGCCGACAAAAAGGGATGCCAAGTCAGCAGCACCAACGAAGCACGAAAAACGAAAAGTTGGGAATCACAGTGAGGAATTGACGGCCTGGTACCGCTTCAAGGAAGAATAGATAAATTATATTTGTGTCAGATCTGTTTTTATTATTCATTCAATACAGTTCATTCTAGTGATACAGTGGAAGACAGATTTATGAAATATTATTTTGAATATGAAACTGAAAGTTGTTATACTATACGAAGTTATAAGTTTGCAATGATTTCAGGCTGTTTCCATCCAATGGTTGTTTTCTCTAAGCAAACTGGTGACTCGTCAAAAATAATGGATCATTTTCCATTTCAGTGCATCCCACTGCGAGGAACGTGGGCGATTCTGTCAATTCCGTCACCGTCGAAAATTGGACCTCCCCACGGAAGAGTGCCAGAGTCTTATTCAAAGACGATCCATCGATCAGGACGTACGAAGAGGTAAACTCGGTGTCTAAACAGTATCGACAACTGTTGAAAAGCCACTTGCAAAGAATGAAAGACATAAAAGCCGTTCTGAAAATCAGTAGGGAATACGACCAAGACGTTATGAAGAAGAAGATGAAATACAGAAACCAAATACTGAAAAAAAGAAAGAAAGACATGGCTACCTACGAGAACAAATTTAGTCAACACGAATAAAACATTGTTGAAAAATTGCTTTTGTTTTATGTTTTACGATGTATAAAGTGAAATAGATCTATTTTGTTCTTAAAGTTACGACAGATTTTTTTTGTTTTTGGAGGTTATACTTAAAAAATGTATTTTGTAATAAATGTAATGTGTTGCGATTTCAGACTACGTTCTTCGGCCCAGCGTAGTTGGAAGGGAGAATCGAGCCAGTAGTAGTAAAAAGCACAAACACCATCACAAAGGGAAGAGAACGTCTCATAAGCCGCTTTCCCGCAAGTACGACGAGTGGGACCGCCTGTTCCAGCAATTCGACAAAAGGGCCATGGAGGGCCGAACCGTGTTCAAATTCATGAGGCGCGACGACCAGGAGAATTGTATCAAGCAGATGAAGAAACTGGAAGCGCGAAGAAGAAGGGCGAGATCTAAAAGGGCCTCGTCGAAATATCCGTCACCTGAAGGTGGAAAGAATAAGGCCACATCCATCGACCAGGATTTCCTCATATCTGACAATACCCACCTGAAACTCAATAAAGTACATCGAAAAACGTAAATCCGACTAAAGTTTATGGAATTCCATCATGCACCATATAAGATTTAAGCTATTGTACCTCGGTGGGTCCTGGCATTCCATTACTTGCCCAGGTTTCAACGGTTGTGTAATTGCAAAAAAAATATTTGCTGGGGATTTTAACGAAAACACTTACTGAGGGGGTAGATGAGTCAGTTAAGTCGGCTTGAAGGAAAACACAACCGCCTACTGTGAAATGTGAACTTGACCTGACTGACATGAACTTGACCTATACTCGGACTTCAATTCCATATTTTTATTAGGCTATTAAATCCTATTAGGGTCAGGCTAGTGCGAGGTAGAGCTAGGTACAGGGCTTGCAGACAACCACACGGTATCTAGTACCTACGTGTCACTTACAGGGAAGCGATTCTAACCCAGTTCCACGTGTGCTCACTAACTCGCAGAACAACCATCCACTGTCAACTTTACTACCTACCTTTACTAACGAAGTTATCATAAAAGTCGGCAATCTATGTCCCAAAATTGTTTGTTAATCCGCGGCAATATAATGCAAATATTAAATTCACTAATTTTGTGGTCCGCTTGTCCAATAATATATAATAATTAATTAAGGTTTTTAGTTAAGATAAAAAAGTCAATGGTACGAGCGGGATTCGATCCCACAATCTTCGGCTATCACGCCGCTGCTCTACCACTTGAGCTATCGTGACCTCGATCCACTCTGACATCAACTTCCCATCTCAACCGCACCTTTTGAATTTTCCCTCCTTTTTGCCATTTTTCAAATGTCGTGTAATCGGATTGGATTCTCGACGACAAATGAAATGGCCACGGGGAGCTTTAGTGAAGTATACTTCATTTGATGGTTGAGATGGGAAGTTGGTGTCAGAGTGGATCGAGGTCACGATAGCTCAAGTGGTAGAGCAGCGGCGTATCGAGCCGAAGATCATGGGTTCGAATCCCGCTCGTGCCATTGACTTTTTTATCTCATCTAAAAACCTTAATTGCTTGTATTTTATTTTAACACGCAAGCCGATGAAATTCCTTTCTGTTCGCATAACTGTTAGGTTCCGATGACCATACTTTTCTATTTCTTCTTCTACTTCATGCCCTGGGACTTAGTCTACGGCTTTGCATTTCCAATTTATATAATCATGCACAACAGAATCAACTTGGTGATGTTTACGTCTGTTGGTCTGATTGCTGCTTTGTCTATCTGACATGAATGTCCTATGTCACATCCTATGTCCATATTTTTCCACCGAGACTGAACTAAGCTTTTCATCCAGATTTGTATTCTCTCTTGCGTGGACCTGTAGCGCGACAGTCTTCCATCACAATGTATTGAAGTTTCTTCTGCTTCTTTGCCATCTTTTTATGGTCATTGGGTCAGAAGTGCCCCCGTCAAGAAAAGTAAAATCGGCGTCCTACAATGTGGCCCGTGAAAAACTCAGATTCTTATTGCTGTCATATCACTTCCATTTTAAAGTGTTATCCCATGGGATGAATTCCTGTAAGGAACCTCCTTTATTTTCAAGAGCGTTCTGTTCATTTCCTCCTACACCTGAATAAGGTATAACTCAGCGATTGGTTTGCATTCCTAATTAATTTAATTTTTTAAATTTCATGTTACTGGCCTCTTTCCGGCCTATGTTTGAATTGAACATATATTTCGATTTCATTCTCATTCCATCGAGTTCTTCCTATTATTGACAGAGGTTTCAACGGTAGGTAAAATATGCTGCTGTTTCTGCTGGAATCCTTCAAATAAAATGTACAGAAGTTAATCAAGGAATAAAATTTGTTTCTATACATAAGATTTTGTCTTCCATTCGCGAGTTAATGCCAAAAATTGTTCGTTTATTACTTATTATTTATTATATTTTTAAATTTTATTTCGTGCAAAATTAAGATTTAGCTGCAAGATTCTTTTATAAACCAAGCAGAGAATATATTGCGGATCAAAGATGTATTTTGATCAATTCGCCCTCAACATTCGTGGACTTTCTCATCCGGTTTTGTTATTATATATTGTCCTGAAATGCAAATTGATAACACGAAATAGAATCTCCGCTTTATTTAGTTGAGATTTGTCCAAACGAAATGCTGAGAAATACAATTTTCGAGCTGGAATTGAAAATTTTCATGTAGGATTTAATAAGAATATGTAATTTTTATGGTGAGATTAAACTTTATTTAAAAGTATGAAAACGTTTTTAGATGAAAACCTGACAGAGATCTACCATCCCGATGATTTGTTTTTCAATAAGGGTAGAAAATTGGCATCACACTTTAATCATTAATCACATCAGTCATTAAAACAACGGTATAGAATTTAATTTATCTTTGATGTAAATGATGATGAAATTCGGCCAAATAGCCTTTTTTCTTTTATTTATAAGCAATTTAGTTTATTCAAAATTAAATACAAAATTTCACTGCAATGTGTCTTCTTGATTTAAGTTGTAGGTTGGTCGTTTCAATTAGTTTGGTCCCCATATTTTCACTGTTTTGATGTGTCAGACACGTTTCATCTTCTCGTCATCTTCAGTGGTGGTTTTGTGCCGGATAGGCAGACCAAAATGATTCAAAATCAAATAATACGCTCAAACTACAACAATGATTATGTATCGCATTATGTCACTGTTGTGCTATGAAGCATAAACCATACTCCCTTAAAATGGTAAAACCTAGGACACGTTAGAACTAGAATACTAGCTAGTAAAATTGCAGACTCTGGAAGTATTATGTATAGACTTGTAGCAGATATTGCCAGGAAGAACAAGAAACTGCGGAACTCGTCCTCTGTTGGTGCGAAGGCTTGTACAGGCTGAGATTCCTGCTCCTGCAAAAGGACCCAGACCTGAAGGATGTGAAGGAAATACACAGTAAGTCTTAACAAACTTACTTTGGGATCTGGTAAAACATCTCAACGCAAAGTTCTAGGTAATAATGAAGATTTCAGAATAGGCCAATATTGGTCGCGGTGCCTTTTTAACCTTAATCTTACATCCGTTCATTTAGTGGTCTATTGACCAAATTACTTCTTTCAATTAATTAATTATGTAAGGTTTTGGTTGAAATGAAAAAGTTAGTGTCACGAGCGGGATCACCCACGATCTTCCGCTCTAACCACTTGAGCAATCGTGATTTCCATTCACTGGACACCAACTCCCCATCTGGACGTACCTTTCCAATTGTCCTTCCTTTTTTCCATTTTTCAAATGTCGTGTAATCGGATTGGATTCTCGACGACAAATGAGATGGCCACGGAGAGCTTTAGTGAAGTATACTTCATTTTAAATCATTAAATTCACTGATTTCGTGGTCCGCTTGACCAATTAATATATTATAATTAATTAAGGTTTTTAGTTGAGATAAAAAAAAGTCAATGGCACGAGCGGGATTCGAACCCACGACCTTCGGCTGATTAGGCCGCTGCTCTAACCACTTGAGCTATCGTGACTTCGATCTGAATCTTACACTGTAGTCATTTAATTGATTGGCTGAAGATGTCGAAAAGCTGAAACGAGACTGACAGACCAAAACAGTGAGGATTGGTAAACTAAAATGTTTGGAAACCACCAGACTACAGGTTCATTATGGAGGACCCCACGAGGAAATCTCATTATTTCGCTGTACGTCTACTCCAGATTTTTTTTAATTTTAAGTTCTTCATCCCGATTTCATACCCGAGGAACTTTAAAAATCCATGTAGTGAGGATAAACGAAATACCATACTGCATAATGGGCATAATAACATGAATAATGATGTACCACCTGCCGAGGTTGTTATGAAGAATTTGTATATATAAAAAAGCAGCAGCCAAGAACATACACCAGACAGAAGCGAAAACATCACTCCAAATTTTAAGTCAACATTAAAATTAAAGTCAGTGTCACGAGCGGGATTCGAACCAACGACCTTCGGCTAAATACGCCGCTACTCTACCACTTGAGCTATCGTGACTTCGATCCACTAGGACACCATCTTCCCATCTCAACCCCACCTTTTGAATTTTCCCTCCTTTTTGCCATTTTTTTTATCTCAACTAAAAACCTTAATTAATTGAAAGATATTAATTGGTCATGCGGACCACGAAAACTAGTGAATTAAAATGAAAAAAACTATTAAATCGTTATTTATCATATAATTTGTAATAAGCGACTTAGTCCTAATTGATTTAACATGAAGCTTTCATTGTAATACCGTTAATCATCCTGGTCTGTCTTACAAGGCTATCTTAGACTGTTAGACATTTTTCAATATTTCGCTATCTTAAGTGTTGGGTCTGTGCGATTTCTATAAAGTCAAGGCTCTTTTATTAGGTTCTGATCGGTATTCGTGATGGTCGGACGTTTTTCTTTTTAAACCATATTGGTATAGTAGCTACTGAAGATGGATAAACGCCTCTGACCAAAATGATGATCAACGATCAGATTACAGGTTCATCACCCCGCAGACCGCAGAAATCTGCAGCAAAACTTAATTATTATAACTGTGATATTATATAAAGAACATAATACAGTAGTCATTACAGTAATTTAAGGACACCGTATCTTTATGATATGTTAAAAGTTATTTTATATTACTACTTTTGTGCCAAATTGCACATGTTATCTTCAATATAAAAAGTGGTCTGCATGTGACCCATATGGGAAATTAAAAATTTAGAACTGAATAGTCGTACAAGAAAGAATATAAAGTCAGATTGATTGAAATAAACGTGAGATGACATATTTATTTACAGTATAGAGTTAAAACAGAATAACTGAAGTATAAAAGATGCGTGTCCGACGGGATAGACGATGCATGAAAAGTCACAGGTTGACCTCGCGAACAGGAAATTTGATGAAGCCCCCCGTGCGGTTCTAGTTGGCTTATTTCACCGCGTTTTTCTTCAAACGCTTGTTCTTTTTGACGATTTTCACCTTAATAGGATACTGTTTGGACTTCCTTAAAAGCGCGAGGACGTTTTGCGCGTCGGTAAGCTTGCGATAGTGCGATTCCAGGCAGCGGACCCACTCTTCCGGCATTTCTTCCAGTTGCGCGTTGTCACCGAGAAACTCTTTGTTCAAATCGAGCACTTTTGTTGTTTTGATGGAGTCTTCGCTCTTCGCTGCGATGGGCACACTAGTCGATGAGGCATTTTTAGATTTTGTTAGCCCAACGTTCGATTTTCGTTTTGGAGACAGTGCATTGGAAGCGATTCTTGCGTACACCTTCGCTTTAATTGTCCTCCTTCGGCGACCTGAGTGCAAAAATAAAAAAATATGTTTATAAAAACTGTAAATTAATAAATTTTAAACGTTTATAGAAAAATATTTTGTTTTTTATAGCTGATGTAATACTCATCACCGCACTATGTTGGTTTAGGTATAAATTACATTTGAAAAAAAGGCTGTTAGTTGTTCTTGAAGTATGCGGGGTGGTGAAATTGAAGTTTGGCCTCCCTGTCGTCTTTTTTGGAGAAGGTAAACCGATTGACCAAAATAGCGAAGATAGGCAAACCACGCTTCTGTCAGCGCGTTTAGGTTCGGCAATACCCAAGTGTTGGGTCTGTGTGATTTTTATAAAGTTAAGTTTCTTTTATAAGAACGTGAGGGGTGGGGGTAATTGTGCGATACACTGTGTATCGGCGTTATCTTTGGTGGGGTTGAGATGGGAAGTTGGTGTCCGAGTGGGTCGAGGTCACGATAGCTCAAGTGGTAGAGCAGCGGCGTATCAAGCCGAAGATCGTGGGTTCGAATTCCGCTCGTGCCATTGACTTTTTATCTCAACTAAAAACCTTAATTAATTGTAATATATTAATTGGTCAAGCGGACCACGAAATTAGTGAATTTAATATTTTTAGAGTCCAATCTGATTGATAACTAGATGATGAAAATGGTGTAAGTTGTAAATTCCAGCTCAATATTTTTTGGTTTTATACAACCACAAGATTTTTAGAGATTTATTTGCTATTGTATATTGTATTCATAATCAAAGTACCATTTCAGCAATGTGAACGGTTCAAGGTCGTTCGTATCCAGGTGTTCTACAAAAATGAATATATTACCTTTCCTTTTACATTTCTTTATAGATGTATTATCTCCAGACTCCTTGTTCTTGTTCACCCTCAACATTTTCAAATTTTGAGCAGAGTGCCACAGAGAGAGAGGAACATTGGCTTTGTTCGTAGGACGAAGCAAAATGACTTTTTTTTGTTGCTTCATTTCCGTCGGCCGTGAACAGTATTTTTTCAAATGATAGCTTCTTTTTTGAGATAGTTGTTTCAGTATTATGTGCTGTTGTTCATGTTTGAAAGTTATAAATCATATGAGTTTTTCTGAATCACATGGCCCAACAATATAACGGAACAAGTTTAATTACTTTATTATTTCATTATATTTTAACTGCACAGCCTGAGTGACGTGAAAACTACCAACAGTACTGTAAGAAGAACAAATGTTAATGAGAGATTATTGGACATTATGAATAATATATACACCACACACAATTCCTCAATAATCCATCCATTCATTACATGAAATGCGTGTTGCTATTTAAAAAAAAAAAAAAAAAACATTGCAAGGTTGTCCAACTTCGTATTATCAACTATTATAGTAGTATAACCAATTTTCCGACAAATGGAGTAGAGTACGTTACATTTATTATTCAATCCAGCGCACTACCTTCTACCCACGCAAGACGAAACACGCAATCATTATGATTACTAGCTAGGAAAACAGAAAGACAATATACAACTTTATGGACCAAAGCGTCTATAGTCTGCTTTTTAAGGTCTTTGAACCTCTTCTCCCTGAGCCCTTGGTTCACTTGAATCGGTAAATCCACAAATCCAGTTCGACAATAAAACATACTAACGTACTACTCGGAAGAAAAAAGATGGAAGCTGCACATATTTTGGCGATCAGCCACTAAAAGAATTCAAACTAGTAACACCACCTAGTGACTGTGGTGGTATAAGAATGAGATTACTCATTTTCCTCTTTTATAAGGCGTTGAACTCAAACATTTGTTAATCCATTATATTTCGTGGTCCGATTGACCAAATAACTTCTTTAAATTAATTAATCTTTATGTAAGGTATTGGTTGAAATGAAAAAGTGTCACGAGCGAGATTCGAACCCACCACCTTCGGCTAGATACGCCGCTGCTCTACCTTGAGCTATCGCGACTTCGATCCACTCGGACAGCAACTTACCATCTCATGCTGCCTTTCGAATTTTGCCTCCTTTTTGCCATTTTTCAAACGTCTTGTAATCAGAATTCGATTCTCGGCGACAAATGAAACGGCCACGGAGAGCTTTAGTGAAGATATACTTCGTTTTACTTATTAAATCCATTATATTTCGTGGTCCGATTGACCAAATAATAACTTCTTTCAATTAATTAATCTTTATGTAGGGTGTTGGTTGAAATGAAAAAGTTAGTGTCATGAGCGGGATTCGAACCCACGACCTTCGGCTAAATACGCCGCTGCTCTACCACTTGAGCTATCACGACTTCGATCCACTCGGACACCAACTTCCCATCTCAACCTATATTTCGAATTTTCTCTTCTTTTTGACATTTTTCAAATGTCGTGTAACTAGGATTCGATTCTCGGCGACAAATGTCACAATAGCTCAACTGGTAGAGCAGCGGCGTATTTAGCCGAAGGTCGTGGGTTCGAATCCCGCTCGTGACACTAACTTTGACCCAATTTTTTTTATAGTTCAATCTGAGTGATAACTCGATTATTGAAATGGCGAAGTTTGTTTATTCCTGCGTAATGCTTTTCTGGTTTTACACAGGCTCAAGATTTGTACCGGCCTATTTGCTATTTAGGTTCGTATAATCACAGTACGATAGTTGGCTTAAGGTCTTGAATGGACCAACTTTCGGACACTAAGTAGTAATATTATTATGATTAACCTAATATTATGATTAATTAGTAATAAGTAAATAACGTTATTATGAAGGAACCAGAAGGAGTTTGCAGAGATTTTGACGATCAGCCGCCAAAACTTTCATTCGAGCTAGGGACGCAAACTAGTGACTGCAAGTGTTCTTTGGTCTTTGATTGATTTTATTTTTTGTATGCATTCATGTTTTTCGATCCAAATCAACGATGTGGCATGAAATTGACCAAATAGACCAAAGTTTTCCTCCTTGTTCTACTAATCTTTCCCCTATCTACCAGTTTTTAATAGGCTGAAACAACTTTTTTCTAAAAAAGATTTATTGCAAATGAATCTTAAATTAAGTCTTTTCGGATTTTGTTTCATCACGTTACTGAATCACTTTAGAAGTGATCAGGGATCTCAGTTGTAACATTGAACCATTTATGACATTTTATGTAGTTTTTATCTAACGACTATTAATTTTAATGAAAATATAATATATAATTGCAAAATTTGTATCCGATGGGTACTTTTAAGTACGATCCGTCTCCCCCAACAACTATCCCAAAGCGTGTGTTCTGCAAGGCAGTGTCCTCGGTCCCATTCTATAATCAGTATACACTGCAAACATTCCAATCAATCCCGATACAGTACTCTTCACATATGTTGACGATCCTTTCATTACACTCAGAAGTGGCCTTCAGTACTCCAGGGGTAAATCTCCGTTTGGAAGGATAGTTCAAGAACAGAGGATCAGAACTAACAAAACGAATCCCCTGGATGGCAGTATCATCCTGAGTATCCTCCAGCCTGCCGCCATCACCCTTCAGCGTCAATCTACTCCTCTGTTCCTCTCCCTGCAACTAATGTCGACCGCTATTGAGGACTTTATATTGAATTAGTAATGGAAATAAAGTTGATAAAATCTGCTCAAAAGACTTGAGAACAGATCGAATTTCTCACTACAAAATCAAACCCCTCATTACAACTACAACCAATCAAGGTTGTATTGAATTGAGGGGTAAAACAAAATGTTCTTCCACAAAGAATCCATTCACTCCATACGAAATCCTTCGAACCATTGCCAAAGCCTCAAATGTCGTATAGAACCTAGTATTCACACAGACATTCAGATCCCATTTATCCTCAAAACGAAACGGGCCTAAAATCCTGGACTGTCATTCCAACCACTTAGTGCAACATCTTCCATCCCGAACTCTTCCCACGATGTCTCAAAATACCTAAAGAACCAATATCCTCACTGGTGGGGAAATTGAACAGTGATGTGATAGGAGTATAAATAATGGGTTACTCCTCCCATGTGGAATGAACTTCATATTTAGATTTATATAAATAGTGTACTAACAAAAATTCACGTTTGACTTTTCGTCTAAGTCAAAGTTTTGTACAAGAAGGACAGATTTCAATTATATTGAATTCTGAATTCTATTGAATAATTGATAATAATAACAAACCCGGGAAAGAACAAAACAGCTTGGCCGTGGGGGGTTTTCATCCTGAAAGGAGGCTTGAAAAAGACATGATTTCAACTTTCCTAACGTCCGAAACAACGGAAGATGCCTGAAATATAAAGGAGAAAGGGAATTGCAATGAGAAGGTACCACAAGGAGTTCAATAATTCATCGCCCTCTCAAGTCTCAAGTCAGTCCGTCTCATTAGATTACTAACGTACGCCGTTTTAGATTATATTATTTATTATAAACGTGACAAACTTCGCTCTTGTATAATTAGACACCGGAGAGACGGAGGTTCGAAACCTACTGGCACCTGGGAAATGACAATTAAATCCGGGTCGAAAGGGATTTTGTGAAATTAATGCGCTTCTCTGACAATGACGTCTCTGAATTTTCAACCACTTATGCAAGTTCATCAGGAAATAAATTTTAAATTGACATATCAAACTGTCTATTAAAAAATCGAATCGTTTTATTACCAATTTGTCTCCATTTTCTTAAAGAGCGGAGGAGCCCTCCAGAAATTGAGATTGATTGAACTGTCAAGGTGTTCGAAATTAAATCGATTTATTGTCCGAAATTGACCAAATCTGTGTACTCTGCAATGATAAATAAAGCGGAAACTATATCGAAACTTTACTAATGTGTAAACACAGCAGGTCTGTTGTTTGTTATCCAGTGTAAAATTGTCTTATTTCGTTAATTCCTTTCATTTACTTACCCAATATATAATATAAAAAGGCATGCAGGCTTGTCATGCAAAAATATTACTAATTATACATTCATTCTTTTTCCAACTTTCCCNGGTAGAGCAGCGGCGTATCTAGCCGAAGATCGTGGGTTCGAATCCCGCTCGTGACACTGACTTTTTTATCTCAACTAAAAACCTTAATTAATTGAAATATATTAATTGGTCAAGCGGACCACGAAAACTAGTGAACTCGGTTTAATGTTTACATAATGTTGTTACAAATACAAGTAAAAATTAAAATTACTCAGTTGCAGACCAAAAGAGCTTTAAAAAAAAGCTTTAATTTTGAGAATAAAACAATGCTTAAGACTTCAAGCACTTGATTATTTGTAAACAAGAAGATTAAAACATAAGACTCATCTTATCCCAAGAGATCCTCCCTCAGCCAAAGCCGTCGGAAAAGGTCTGAATTGTTTTCCTTTGGTTTCTCTTTGCTGAAAATATTAGTTTTTTGAGTGCTAGCACGATTAAATAATAATAGAAAATAAACGTTGTACTTCTGTAATTTAAGAAGAAACGTAAAAGCTGGGAGAAAACAAAAGAAAGCAACTGATTTACCCCGAGATCTTCCAACAATGAGAGGTCATTTTAACTATAATAAAAGATGTTTTTTTTTTGCAAATACATGATTTTTAAATTGGTGTTTAAGGAATAATCAAACGGGAAGAGATAAGTTATTTTGAGGAAGGATGGTTCAAAGTGGATAAACATTTCCGTCTATGGATTTCCAATGGAATTTCAATCTGGTGATCTAATAATCCCGCGTATTTACTTCATTAAGAATATTAATTATTAAGTATGGTAAAGAATAAATGGAGTAGTTATAAATACAATAATTGTAACAGAGAAATGGACTGATGGTGCAGTTTCTTAATAAATGCAGTGTAGAAGTTTATGGAGATGCATATGTCAGATTTGTAAATTATACATAGCATATACCCCCTAGCTAATCTGAGAAAACATGGCTGAGGAAATACCGACGTCAAAAAAATTAACAGAGAAAGAATCGAAGAAGGGCAGGAAATTAATGGCCAACAGATGCATTTCGAAAAACAGCAAGGAGCAAGAAACCTCTAGTTATGAATTGCCAGCTGCCACGATCCAAAATCTTTTGGTAGTAAAACACAATAGAAAATACACATTTAAATTTTAAAAAAGAACATATCTAACGAGATTAAATGCACTTTTTGTAGAGTTTTAGCATAAAAATCATTGTACGATCATTACACGAATTCCATAATCACCTCAATCATCCCTTACGAACTGAGTGGCAAACTCACTGGTGCAGTTGGAGAGGGCCAGACTCAGAGAGATAGGACTATTAATCGTTCACTGGCATGTGAGAAAACATCTACATAACATGGGCATATACAACGATGATCGCATTTGCAGATTATGTAATGGGGAGGAAGAAACCCATATCATCTTGCGAAGTAACGGCTCAATGGATACATAACCTAGCATACAGAAAAAATCCTAGGGAATGAAGTTCAAGCAACAACAGTCAAAGGCCCTTGAAGGGCCACTGCCCACTGAGAAGACACCTCTTCGTAATGGGTATCCTACCAGATCCCTTTTGCCGCTTCTGCGAAATAAAAGAAGAAACGGCAAGGCACTACCTCGCAGAATGTGATAGGTATGCTAGGTCTAGATTTGAAATCTTTGAAGAAGAGGACATCACCAAATCATTCCGCGAGATAAAATGGTCCAAAATCTTGGGGTTTGTGAACAAGTCCAAGAGGTTTATGCAGGACACGTGAGCCGACCAAGTCCTGGACCTTTTAGGGATAGGGTACGAGTCTACCCAGGCATTTAACCCCTCGGGTCTTGGTCGCCCACCCTGCATAATATATATAACAGTCAAAGGCGTAATACTTCTGAGAAGAAGGATTGAATATATTGCACTGAACTGGTGAACTAGAAAGGTACAATAAGGCAGAAGGCTGCAATGCCTGGGGAGCACAAACCCCGCTTCCTAGTATCCTCATCATCACCTTCACAATCACCATAATCACCTCTAACATTGCAAAAATTAAAGGACCATGGACAACTGATCAGGATAAACGACAACACCTCTCCTTTTAATCTATTACAGCTCAGTACTATCGCTGCTGTAATTTAGCGTTTTTATAAACGTTGGGAGAAATGTGTGGTGTTTACTGACCATTACTTGATGATTATTCGGAGGTCGTGAGATGCGGTCTGATGTGACGTAGGTTTTAGAAAAACATTTTCTTTATCGTACCAACGTTTCGATCTTTATTGAGATCATCTTCAGGGCCTGGGATTTATAAGCATTCTTCAAATTTTACAAATACATGTAGGATGTGAAAAATTGAATGTATGCAATGCTAGAAAATTTTAGAGTAAAAAAATGAATTTATACAATGCTACAAAATTTTAGATTCAATCAAAGTAGTTGTGAGAAATACAAAACCGCCTGAACTCTCAACTATCTTGATTAGGTCATCTACACTAAATGTAAACGTTGACCCAGCGAGAAATAAGTCACACGTTCTCAAAAATATAATCGTTATTATGCAAAAACAAGTATTCTTAGCCAAAATGTTCAACTTGAGCTCTCAAAACTGAACATCTGCAATCAAATTATCATATGGAATAATAATAAAACCATAAATTATCTAGATATCCATATGGGTAGAAAGCTGACAGGGCAAACATATTTAAAAAATAGGTATCCGAACCCGAAGACTTCTAGAGGGATGCACTTTTATCCATTGCTAAACGACAAAGGTCTACCTTGGTATACAAGTCGATTATTACCTATGACTATATACTAGCAAAGTGTTAGGAGCCACAGCCTGTTCAAAGATAAATAAGATCCAAATTTTGTAAAATAAAGCCCTAACGAATAGCAATGCATCCTGGGTAATCAAAAATGTAAAGCTTTATCATGAGTTTGAAGTCCCAACCATAAAAGACTAAATTGATGCCAGGTTCAGGAAGTTCTACCAAAAACTGCATCAAACGAACCGAACAATACACTTCCAGCTGGGATAAAGAGTGGTAAACAGGCTTAATCTAAACTTGTTCCAGGACAGCTTCGATCTGTGATAATTCTAAGTATTTATTGACTATGTATTTGTTTATAAATTTCAAATTGATACCCTTAGATGTAACGAAAATTAGTGGCAGGGGGTTAATTTCTAAATGTGATAATTAAAATGTAATAAAAGTTAGGCAGTACTTGTAGAACGTGATTTTTTAAATAAAGAATATTATACGTAAAAATAGTTAATTTATTAAAGTTATTTTCTTAAGATACCGTAGTAGAATAATATTAGCTTTCAATTTTGGGATGTGAGAATTGCTCTTTTAGCATTGTAGGTCACCGAAAGGTAGCAGCACATCAATTTTTGCATTTGTATTGACAGTATTGAGACCGGATGTCCTTCGGGTGATTCAGAGGATCAGTTATCCGAAGTCCTTTTTCTCATATTTCCCATGAGTCTAATTTTCCACCTTTCCTCTCCTTGCTCTCGGCATCTCCTTTTCCTCTTGTCACTTAATAATTCACTGTGCCTTCCGAGGAGCGAGTTACGACCGTGGAGGTATCATAACCGTCTCACCTAACTTATTATAACCAGGGCTTTTATTAGTTTATTTACACTAGTGTAATTCATTTACACGGGGATTTACGGTCGCCGCGCATAACTGGAAGTGGGGAAAGTCTCGAAAATTCGGTCTGGCGATTATACCGAGATAAAGATCCGTCGTATATTTTTATAAGGGGGTATATTACCTTTTTTTTCCACCACCATTGTGACCGAACGGTGGCCGGAAATGGAGAAGGCCGGGTGATTGTTTGGCCGCGCCGGAAGTTACCTTCTTCCGGTGTACAATAAGCCACAACGTCATCCGGACGGCGGATGTCATTGGAAACCAGGTTTACAGATCAGGGATCGGCCAGGAAGGTCTATGTACGTGTACAACTATGGGAATACACGATTTGGAACAGAAAAATGACTTTTAACTAACGGCCGTCGCCCCTTCGGGCTGGTGCCTTTATTAATTGGTATCTATACTTGATATGAATATTCATATGAGTTCATACATTTTTATAGAAGTTAGCACGATCTAATAAGAAATTATTATTAGTTTACTTGCGCTAAAAATGTGCATTTAAAAGAGCAATTAAAAGTTTTAAGAATAAAAAATAACAGGATCCTATGACGAAGAAGAAGAAATTTTACAACACTTAACAAATATATTATATGTTATTTTGGAGAGGGAGAGATAATGAGAATGTGAGAGAAAAAGGAAATAGGGAGAAAGGGAGAGAGAGAGAGAGAGAGAGAGAGAGAAGAAGGGAGAGAGGGAAGAAAAGAGAAAGAGTAAAAAGAGGAGAGATAAAAAGCGATTTAGAGAGAGAAGTATGTGAGGAGAACCAGAGTAGAAACGGAAAAAGGAAAGAGAGGATACATAAAGAGAGGTGTAAAATTGGAAAAGAGAAAGAGGACGGGTGTGAGTAAGATAGATAGATAGACAGATAGATAGATAGGTAGATAAATAGATAGGTAGACAGATAGATAGATAGATAGAGAGAGATAGAGAGAGAGAGAGAGAGAGAGAGAGAGAGAGAGAGAGAAAGAGAGAGAGAGAGAAAGAGAGAGAGAAAGAGAGAGTGAATGAGAGAGAGAGAGAAATGATAGTAGAGAAGGATGAGATAAAGGGTGAGTGAAAAAGAGATAGAAACAGGGAGAGAGAGAAACGTAGACAGACACAGATTTATGTGAGAGGAGAAACAGTGGTAGAAATGGAAATAAACAGAAAGGGATAAGATAGAAGAGATCTTAAGAGAAAGATCTCTACTTAAAAAAATTTGATTATATTGTTTCCAGTCAGTTTCAAATACATATATCCTATCGTTCGACAGAAAATTTTCGAAAGGATAAATTTCAAAGAAAAAATACGGCAATTGAAAATACTATGGTAATGTATCTAGTAGATAAAGTTTTCGTCAGTGCTCCACAGTTTTATGAGAAATCTAACATCTCGCTATTTAGTTAGTTTGCCGATTCAGCGGAGACGTCATATTATCTTAATAGATTATCTGCCTTGTATTATAAGCGCATCACAAGTCACAGAATAAGCCAATTTTCAAAATGGCCGAGCACAAATCAATCTACTGACTTAATTTACCTGTTCCCGGAAGGAAATCGAAAATTGGAATTAGCAAGCCTATCCCAATTGCACGGGAAAAAAATCATAAGCCTTCCCGTCTCTGGAAGGGGCTTAACGGAGAATTTTCCTCCCTGCTGCACCTTGCACTTCCCCCCGGACCATATCGCAGTCAGCTTCAAAACCTTGAAATTGGGAAACGTTCGATCAGCTCCGTGAGCGTGCAGTGTTTTGATGTACTACCGACTAGTAATCCGAAGGTGAAATTGAAAGGATTTTTTCCTGGTGTTTATTTTTCCGTTGATTACAGAGCATTTGCTCTGGCCATTTGCGACGGGACCCCATGTTTACATCATCAGTATGAACATGTCCCGCGTTCAGTTTGTCGTCTCCATCCCATCGACCGCCGAAGAACGGCGAATTATCGACCAGGTAACGGATTTATTATTTTAATCCCATAAAAGTTTATTTACATCAATCATATAGAATAATTTGGACAATTTGTCCTAATAATCTGAAAAAATCTAGAAATCTATCTCATTAATATCTTTACTTTATAAACATAGTGACGGATTTTAATGTTTAGTATCGATTTATTAAATTTTTTATTATTTTATTAAATTATACACTTTGTGACAGTAAAGAAAAGTATTATAGACAATCAAAATCAAATATAGTTTATTTCCCGTTCATAAAGCGTTCTGTAATACAAGGAATCGTATAAAAATTGCAGCCTAAACCTCTTAAATTAAAAATTAAAGTTTCAATATCCTGATGAAGGGCTAGAATATTACTAGAAAGCTCTCGACCGAAGAACTTAATATTTTCTTTTAGATTGGTCGCATCCCTGATTTTTAATATAAATTTATAATTGAACTTCTAATTTAAGAAAATATTACACAATTTATCCCAGTTCTTATCATTTAGATAAGCATATAATGCATTATAAATAGTAATTTTTCACAAAATTTAAAGCTTAAGTTCAAAATCAATTTCTTCTTCCATCGAAAGATATGTTTTCATTATAATCAAAGGTTTATTCCTAGCATATTTTATTAGAAGAGTACAAGGGTTCTACAAAATACATGTATAAATAACATATACAGACATAAATGTACATTGACTAAAAACATTTACAATTCTAACCATGTTTTCGAATTTTGGTTATTTACCCATAGTTTTCATTCAGTTACCTTTTCCCTCTTCTGATATATTCTTTATCTGAACAATCAATGCTTTCGAAACATTTTGGTTTATAAACAGTTTGCCAGTCTCCCGTAATGGACAAATAGCCTGTTGTACTTCATCGAAAGCTTTCTAATTTTTCCTCGTTTCTCTATCTTTTCTTGTTATTTCCCTGCTGGGTAAATATTCAGATAAAAGCTAGATCACCAGTTAATTTCTGTGATAAAATTTTATATGATGTCCTCACGTTTAGTCTATCCCCTATGAAAGACGGATAACAATAATACGTTTGGAAACGCTAAACCAGCCCAGATTATAATCTAATATCTGATTTTCTTAGATTAACTTAAATTTTGATCAATTTGATAATAGAAAATTATTCTATTATTCTCTGTGTCTCTGTCTCTGTCTGTCACTCTCTGTCTGTCTGTCTGTCTGTCTCTCTCTCTCTCTCTCTCTCTTTCTTTCAATCTCTATCTCTCACACAGCACACATACACACCCACACAAACAAATACACACACAAGATCTATCTATCTATTTATCTATCTTTCTATTCATATAAATTTGTTTCTGTCTCTATTTTTCTCCATCACATTCTTTTCTATCACTTTTCTATCTATTTTTATCTATCTATATATTCTATTTATTATTATCTATTCGCTTTCCCTCGTCCTATCTCTTCCTTTCACTCTCTGTCTATCTGATCTGTCTGTCTATTGGCCTCTCTCTATATATATCTATATATTTTTTTTCTCATGTATTCAAGAAGTATATTTATAAACGAAATGGTAGAATGAATATTGAAGAGCGTGGTAGAATGGTTAATTATTTATGTAAAACGAGAGAGATGTTAAACAGGAGGAAGTAAGAAAAGGAGAAATGGGGTTTATAAAAAAAACAAGACTGAAAAATAAGGAGACATAATGAAAGAAAGATAGGGAGGTTTAATGAACGTTGACTTTTCATCTGCCATTGAAGAATCTAAGGGCAGGAACATTCGTGTACAAAACTAAAAATAATAATGCCTAAGTCATAAACATAAACCATAATTCGAAAATATATTAGTTTTTAATTATTTCCATTTATCGTTGTTTGGGTTCCAGCGGGAAATTCGAGCTGCAAGCATCAACGAAAAGGGAAATGATAATCTGGCTTATCAGGAAAACGACAAAACAGTTAAAACAACGCCGATAACAATGGAACAAGTATTTGATTTTTGACTGTGAGTAAACTGTAAAGGCATTTTATTTATTTTAAACGTAAAATTGCATATTTCAGATATTAACTAAAATCATATCGGAGCTGAACGTGGCTAATCCGATCTGGATCACTGATAAAAGTTTAAGGTATAAACAGGTAAACAACTTTTTTCTTATCTTAAACAAAATACGATATCGGTTTTAGTCCTGTTATTTGTCGTCTTCACATTAGCCCGGGGATATCAGAGTTATTATAAAAAAAAGTTTAGCATTTACTAGGAAGTATTAACGAGCTATATTTAAGTAGTATACTGTAAAGTTTAAGTAGGAATGTATTGCCAAAGGAGAAGTGATTTTTGAAAATTATGGTTCTACTCACAAGACGCTCATCATCAGGTTGAAGGAGTTACAAACACCTCTGTCGTCTTGAAACGTAAGAGTGAACCCGCCGATCAACCACCAACGCGACGTTACAATGAGAAGTTGGTTTTTTGATGCCGCTCAATTTTGAACCTGCGAAAAACGTGAATTACAACACGACAAATTTTATCCCGATAACTACTGTAAGAAAATAATTTTAAATTCAGTGGTTCATTTGTATGACATATATTAAGTTTAAAATAAGAGGTAAATAGAAATCTATTATATTATTTATGCCTGTATCTCGATGTTTAATCTTAAATTTTTTTATTTAAAATTTCTCAAACCAATCTAGTTTCCTCCTAAATTTAACTTGTGTTTTGTTTCATTTGGGTGGCCCTTAAATTAAGAAAATTTGTTTTTTTTTATATTTATTTCTTTATTATTTAACTCTCGTTTTCATTTCTCTCATATTTAATATCGCAATCGTTACAATTAAGTTGGTAAACTTTGCTTTTTGACGAATTGTCAACCTTGTCTTTATGTTTTGAGAGGAAGTTTCTAATTGAACACCAACGTCTAAAACCTTCTCGTTTAAGTATTTTACCTACTTTTGCTATAGTTCACCAATGGTAAGTAATAAAAACCTAAAGATTCATTTTTGGTGGTGTGGTTGAATGCGATTGTTGATTTTTTAAAAGTTAATTTTGTTATTCTTCTTTCTTTTTACTAGCAACCTATCAATAATATTTCTTGATATGCATTGTTTTTAACTAAGGTTTTAATTTCTTTTTTATAATTAGCAGGTGTTACGGGGAGTTTCAACATGCGTTCTTTGAGCTAAATGAATCCAGTAGCTTTAACACCTGCTAACTATAATAAAGAATTGCAAACATTAAAATCTTACGTAAAAACTATGGATTTAAAAAAATTGTTATCGTTAGGTTGCTAGTACGAAGAAAAAGAAAATTAACTTAACAATTTCTCTCCCTCTATCACTCTCTCTCACTCTCTCTCTTTCACTCCCACGTCACGTTCTTTCTTAATTAGTTCACTCACTCACTCTCTCTCTCACTCTCTCTCTCGCTCTCTCTCTCGCTCTCTTTCTCTTTCAATCAATCACCTACCATCAATCCTAGCCTCACGTTATTTCTTAATTAGGTCACTCACTCTCTTTCTCACTCCCTCACACTCACTCAATCTCTCTCTCTCTCCCTCCCCTCTCTCCTTTTCACTCACTCACCTTCACTCCCAGTCTAACGCTCTTTCTTAATTTAGTTCGCTCACTCAATGTCTCTCTCTCTCTCTCTCTTCCTCTCTCTCTCTCTTCTCTCTCTCTTCCTCTCTCTCTTTCGCTCACTCACCCACCTCCACTCCCAGTCTCAAACTCTTTCTTAATTTAGTTCGCTCAATCACTCACTCTCTCTCTCTCTCTCTCTCTCTCTCTCTCTCTCTCTTTCGCTCACTCATCCATCTTCACTCCCATTCTCACACTCTTTCTTAATTCGTTCGCTCACTCACTATCTCACTCTTTCTCTGTCATTTCTCTTTCTTTCTCTCTATCTATCTAAAAATTCATTTGGTTGTTTAAGCGGTGAATGGTCTTGACACAAGCGCCAGAAATATATCGTTTCTTCCAATAGTGAGAGTGTAGAAACATTTACTTAGTTTTAATTTTATTAGTATTTATTCAGAAATCGTGAGATGCGGTCTGGTGTGATGTAGGTTTCACAAAAACATTTTCTTTATCGTGCCAACGTTTCGATCTTTATTGAGATCATCTTCAGGGCCTGGGATTTACAAACATGTAACATTGTTTACATATAACAATTACATTTTGGATGTGGAAAAGTGAATTTATACAATGTAAAATATATTTTTTATATATTCAATCAATGTATTTCTACTCACTCAAAGTGTTTGTCTCCTGTGCAATTGTGCCATTCTTGCGTGTCGTGTTGAGAGTGCCACACTTTATTAGTATTTTATTGCAATTAACATAAGTTGAACCAACTTGACTATTAAAAAATGGCTGTTCAGTTTATTAATTAAATAGTGACTGTCTCGCTCCTTAATCCTTAGCATAACTAATGCATTCGAATTGATTATCAGTAATAGAAATGTAAAGTATCAAAACCAAAAATATCAGTTATAGAATCATAAATTATGATATTACAAACAAAGTTATATTTTTGTTTGATAATAATTAGTTATAAAAAAGATCTAGACGAATTTTCAACCCATTCCTATAGTACAATCTGTAAGGTTATTTTATTTGTGTTGTTAACATGCAAAGTATTTCCAGGAAAGATTCACTACTTCTTGGACATGTTTTGTGTAAATCATTACAGATCCATTTCTATAGACCTTGCGAGCAAACGTGTGAGTTTTTGTTTTTTTGGAAATTTTTTTAGGTATCGTTTTTCGTTTGCTCCGGCGAAGACTACAACACGGTACTAAAGGTTTTGTCGGACAATGAAATCGGTGCGAAAAAAAACTCGTGCGTTAGGTAAAGATGACCGTTTGCCGTGGTCGGATTCTCCCGATTTATTTAACGTTTGTTCCAGCATACTACCGTGTTCGCTCTTTTATCAAAAGGACGGGACGATCCGCTCTCCGAAAGGGAAGAACGTTTTGTCATCGAAATCGAAATAGTAAGGGTCATTGTGATTTTTCCTATTTGAAATACCATTTATTTTTTATTATTAAAATCACAGTGATATCGCAAACGATACAGCTTGGGATAAATTTGTCCAGTCGGTCCAGCCCAGGATAATAGTCTCGCAGGTCCTGGAATCTGTCCACTACAAGGCGACCCTAACTTTTGATTATTTAGTTCTACTACTAATTGCTGCGTAAAGTTTGTCTGTTTTTTGTAAATATAAATGAACGTTATATAAAGCGAATTTTCCAGGCTAACAGCTGCTTTAGGACTGGTCGAGGATAGTACGGTCATTTTAGTGGCAAGCATGCTCATCTCTCCGATGATGGTGAGAAGTTTAAAAAGATTACATCACGACAATTCAAAAACTCGCATCTGTTCCAGGGCCCTGTAATTGCAGGGATGTTCGGTACGGTCATACCGGATAAAAAACTTCAAAAGATTGGCGTCTTAAACGGCTTGTTGAGCCTCCTTCTGTGCGTCTTCATAGGATTTCTGTTTGGCGTTTGCGTCGACCTTTTGGAAACCCACCAGGACGACATTTGGCCTACGACAGAGATGACCACAAGGTGATGTCTAATATTTTGACAGTTTTATTCTATTGCTTTACGTTTCATAAAATCAAAGACTTGCGTCAACCCTACACTTGGTGATATGCACATCCAACGAAATGCTTCACATTTTTGTAGAGCGTCGTGTAAAAGTGACCCAAAGTTTAACCAGAACTCTTTTTTCCATAATCAATCTAGATAAAAACAGAACTTATAAAATAGATAATATATCAAGTTTAGTTTCAATGTAGCAATTAGAAAACAGTTGAAAGTATTAACATGAGTGAATGTGTACATTTGAGAAATCAAGTTATTTCCATTAATTCACTAATTTCGTGGTCCGCTTGACCAATTAATACATGACAATTAATTAAGGTTTTTAGTTGAGATGTAAAAAAGTTAATGGCACGAGAGGGATTCGAACCCACGACCTTCGGCTAGATACGCCGCTGCTCTACCACCTGAGCTATCGTGACCTCGATCCACTCGGACATCAACGCCCCATTAATTGGTCAAGCGGACCACGAAAGTAGTGAATTAATGATTTAAAAATGAAGTACACTTCACTAAAGCTTTCCGTCGCCTTTTCAATTGTCGTCGAGAATCCAAACCGATTACACAACATTTGAAAAATGGCAAAAGGAGGGAAAACTCATAAGGTGTGGTTGAGATGGGGAGTTGATGAGGTCACGAGAGCTCAGGTGGTAGAGCAGCGGCGTATCTAGCTGAAGGTCGTGGGTTCGAATCCCTCTCGTGCCATTAACTTTTTTTCATCTCAACTAAAAACCTTAATTAATTGTCATATTTCCATTAAGTTAAAAATACACAAATTACAGTTTCAAATAACCCAAGCTAAGTTAATAGTTAATTAACAAGCATAATTAATTGAAATTGAAAATATTAGAGAATTAAAAGAAAAATACCGTAATAAAACATTCGAAATTCTGCCCATTGTGGTCTGGTATTAGCAATCTTGCGATGAACGTCGAAAACCCGTTGTGTTTTCCACCAAAATTACTTCTGCAAAACAGTTTTTTTCCTTTAAAGAAACCAGGAATAAAACTGAATAGTCAGACGGAGCAAGTTCTGGCATATAAGATGGATGTGGCAAGATTCATTCCCATGCCGAACTTCTAAATTATCCTGAATCTTAGATGAAGCGTGTAGTTGTATCTAAGCTGAAATTCTTTCTAATTGTAAGGAGTAGAGTTCAAAAAACGAACAGCATTGATTTTTCACAATGACTATTTGTAGCACTAGGAAAAGCGTTCATTTTTTACGGGTATTAGCATTTGGCCAGCAAATCTTTTTTTTATGACAAGTTAGCATTTTTTGCTGTTTTTATCTTCTCCTCACTTCATAAATATGGCAACTAACCATGTCATGTTACTCCACATTCCATCGTAAGTACATGATTACTCGAGAGAGGATTTGAGTCCTCATCTTGCTACAGTTTATCTGTATCCTTTGATAGTCACCCAGGACCTTTCTTCCTTTCCCAGAACGTATCTCACTCTGAGATTATACAAATCAACGCCAGGGGTGTGCTGATCATGTTTCGAGGTTATTCTCTTATTGATTAACTTCGGTTATTCTTTTGATATGAGAGTATTGGGTATTTTGTTCTTCAATTAATCCAACACTACAATATGAACTTGGCAAGCTTACAGCTCTATATTTGGCCTTCCTCACGGCACAAATTCTTGTCCTACGTCACTATAGAAAAGCATGTCCAGTGCTGACCCAGCAATTTACGAGGTACTACCTAGGGCTACTACGTAGACACTAGGGCTAGAATTTGTGCCCTTGGAAAGGCCAAATATAGAAAACTTAGCAGCAGTTTTATACAGTGTTCGATTAATTGAACGGAAACGTACCCAACAATACGAACTCGGACTGCTGTTCAAGCACTAGCTTCAATAAAATAAAGACATGTTAGTTGGAATTTGATGAAATAATGTAAATCGCTGTCGATTTCAGAGGAGAGCTGAGAGCACTTTGGGTCGGTACTATGATAGCCGTTTTGTCTGGCGGTGCGATCGCATTGGCGATCCTCAGTGACAACACGGAATCTGTGATCGGAGTCGCGATATCTGCAGCGCTGCTACCTCCCGCAGTCAACGCCGTAAGTTTTCGTGTGACTGCCCTATTTGAACAACCTGTTAATAACTTTTTCCCTCAGGGTCTGTTTTGGGCATTGGCAGTCGTCAACCAGTTTTACCACAAATCCGTGTCGTTCGAAACGCACGAGATCCTTTGGTCTCCTCATCCGACGACGGAGTTCATCACGTTAGGTGCGATAAGCATCTGCCTAACCTTGCTCAATATAATATTCATATTTATCACTGGAATCATCATACTGAAGGTAAATGACATGCCCGAAAGACCAAAAATATCAGCTCACTTTTGCAAAAATCGCTATTTCAGGTGAAAGATGTGACGCCGAAAGAGGAAAACAATGTGCCATGGAATCCGATACAAATGGTAAGGGAGTACAAACCACTGACGGACGAAGAAGCTCATACGATCACGGAAAAGTAAGAAATCTCAACAAGTTTTCCAATATTGATTAATAATTGTTCAAATATGTCATTTCAACTGTCTGGATCCGTTTATTCCCGCTGGTTTATGTAAACTGGAAACAGTCATCAATCACGTAGATCACCCTATCTGCCTATCTTTCAATATATCTTTTTGTCGGAGAGAGGTATTCTCTATTTCTCTCTATCCATCTATCCATGTATTTGTCTATCTATTTCTATCTATATATCTATATATCCGGCTCTCTCTCTCTCTCTCTCTCTCTCTCTCTCTCTCTCTCTCTCTCATTTTCTATTGGTCTACATGTCGCAGGTCAACCAGCACGACCAACTTGACCACAGTGGCTATTGGAATGTTAAGGTACTTACTTCAGAGAGTTCCAAATTGGACAAATAGTTGGTATATTAACCTGTTGAGTGTAGGCAAGCACACGACTTTGAAGACCTTTGCCATCAGATATTTTATATGTGTAAACCATATCAGTTTATAATCACGGTATAGGCACTGATACCCTGAGCCCAATGGCGACCGAGTGGTTAGGGCGTCCGACTAGTATTTCCATGCTAACGTTTCTGGGTTCGCATCTTGGCAGATCCCTCCGGTATTTAATTGATAATAGTATGAAAAATGTATTGTAATGTAGTGTGACCCCCTTCGTTCTCGAAACCCAATAGTAGTTAGTCGTTAAGACCTCCTGTATGACAGGAATACTACTTAGCTGGTATCGCTCATTTCCTGAGGTTGGGGTCAAGGAATTATCAATTTAATTTTAATAAAAGATGAGTTTTGGGTTTGATTGATGTTTTTCACTTCTCGCGCCTCCAATCTCAAAAAGATATGAATATGTGATTTCTTAGGTAGATTTAGCGTAGAGGTTATGTGCAGCTATGTCATTTGCTATTTGGTGTTGCGGTAGGTCATGGAGATAGCAGAGTTATAAAAAACACCTAAAATAATCGACTTAAATAGAAGGTACAACTAATATTAAATAAGATAAAAAAATATTTTAAAAATGGCGATAAGTGATTTTTTTAATTTTTGATAAACGTGATGCTAGTACTCATTCCAAATGAAATTCTGAAGTTCTTACCCTGTGTGATGCGAAGTTGATAAGTATCTGGCAGCTGGTGTACTTTCAGCATATATACCAGTATAGACAGGACGCAGAATTAAACTGGTAAGGTGTGGATTTTTTTTTGGTGCATCATTGGCGTTTTATTGTTTATTCTACAACATAAGCGCTACTTGTGTGTATGTCTTAAAGTCACCTTTTTAAACGTGAGTTGACGTTGAGAATATCACGCTGCATTTCATTTAACGAAAAAATATGGTAACTTATTAATGATAAAGTTGACCTTTCGTTGAAGAGAGATTGCAGTTGAGCTGAACAGTAGGGGTGTCTTCGTATATTACTATTTTGCTTTATACGGTTTACATTCATTTCTGACTTGATTTTAAGACAGCAAAATAAAAACCTGAAATATTTTTTTTAGATTTGGAGACAGCTTTGCTAAAGATGATCTCCCCGTGGGTATTCTTAGACGTTTGAGCCATTACGGTATTTTCAACGAGGTATGTATTTTCAAAAGTCATATCTTTTTGCTTTTTTTATCCTGTCTGAACTTGCTATAATTAAATCCGCAATTATTCAGTTAACCCGGTCCCACCTGCACACCTGGTCGCCTGGCATGGGGAACATGAAACAACGCCCGTCGCTCAAGGAAATCACTGTACAGCTGTCGGCGCAGTTGCCTCCTGACGGTCAACCACCTTGGAGTCCAGGTTGCTCAATTTAGGACCCTTCATAATTGCAATTCGGCCAATGGTTTTTATTCAGTTAACTTTTCAGATACGACTTTACAAATTCAACACTCTTTATCGCCCGCCTCGACAGTTCAGGAGGAGTTGCAAGACTTGCAGAATTTGGATGATGGAAAAGCTGTAAGACGTTTCACGGTGTCACCAACTCCGCCTCCGTACCAATGAAATTAGTACTTATCCAGTTAATTATGAGTTTTAATTTATCAAAAATGAATATCATTACGTTTTTAATATCATTAAATATTAGTTTAAAAAAATTTGTAACGTTTTCTATTGATTAATAACACTTTCCATTAATTAGATTATCCAACATGTAATACTGTGTATTCATAATAGATTATTTGTCTTTTATGTGCAATAAATTGTAACACTTTTACTCTATGTTTTTAAATATATACATATTCTCAATGATTACAAGGAATAATTGTTTTGCAAACTTAATAATTTATCATAGCCAACAACCTAAGCTTAATTTTTGGACTAACATTACCAACATAAAACGATATTTTTTGTCTACTATTGTTTGGAAACTGAAACCAAACTGGATCAATTTTAAAAACGTTCTAACAAAACAATCATAAAATATTGGGATTAGTGAAGGAATGTTTAATTGTCCAACTTGTATTTTTGTGTGATAATGTGTTTGTTACTGTTATGAACTGTTTACATTATCCTGGTATAATAAGCATGACCTGCGTATTACTGCTGTTGCGTTGACCGAGATGGTTTGGATAACAATAAAATAAGTAAAGTATAAGTTGTGACTATTGAGCATATCTTATAAACAAATGTGTGGTTATTAGTGGCCGTTAATCGATAATTATTCAGAAATCGTGAGATGCGGTCTGGTGTGATGTAGGTTTCTGAAAAACATTTTCTTTATCGTGCCAACGTTTCGATCTTTATTGAGATCATCTTCAGGGCCTGGTATTTACAAACATTGTTTACATTTAACAAATACATTTAGGATGTGGAAAAGTGAATTGATACAATGCAAAATATATTTATACAAAATTTACCTACTCCCTTCCCCACCCCTTCAAAATCCAACGTATATACACATAAAACAGCAAAATCTCACTGGCACTCTCAACACGGCACGCAAGAATGGCACAATTACACAGAAGACAAACACTTTGAGTGAGTAGAAATACTTTGATTGAATATAAAAAATATATTTTGCATTGTATAAATTCACTTTTTTTCACATCCTACATGTATTTTTTGTATTTCACATTTTTGTTAAATGTAAACAATGTTTGTAAATTCCAGGCCCTGAAGATGATCGCAATAAAGATTGAAACGTTAGCACGATAAAAAAATGTCTTTCTGAAACCTACACCACACCAGACCGCATCTCACGTTTTCTGAAAACTTAAAAACAAACCAAAAAATAGTGACATAACGGGTATTAACGCCAATTGTGCTAAATATGTTAAAGTTGGTATGTTTTGTGATACAAGTGTGCTATTTTGGCACTCATAGCATACGCGACATTAAAACGATCTGTGGTTTCTTAAGCGGTGTGAAAATGTGCCGCTTCGTATACTCTTTTCAGATTAGGTTAATTCATAATTACTTATTATTAACAAACAAACGATGCTGAAAAATGTAAACCAGTTAGATTGAGAAAATACAGATAAAAACAGACAAAAGTACATGATAAACGTCAATTCCTAAAACAATTTCCATCAAGGCACTTCCAAATAGTTAATAGGGGTATTCACGATTTTTGTGTTAACCCTGTTATGTCCGTTAGGTCCTGTTACATCGAGAAAAATTATGACGTAGACTTCTAAGAATCGGGTAGTTAACATTGCTCGATCTAACAGGCCAGGGCCAATGTTAGATGTTAAATTTATTAGATTTCATGGACCGATTGACCAAATAAGATCTTTTAATTAATTAATCGTTATGTAAGGTATTGGTTGAGATAAAAAAAGTCAGCGTCACGAGCGGGATTCGAACCCACGACCTTCGGCTAAATACGCCGCTGCTCTACCACTTGAGACGAACTCTCAATGTTTCTCTCAATGAACTCTCAAATGGAGTGTTCACAAATAAATCAGGAAAGACGTAAAAATTCAAATTGAAAAAGAGAAGGTAAAAAGAATAAAAGCACCAGTACCAACCTTGCCAAGGACAGAATTGCAACCTTATCCTTAAAAACATCCTCATTTTAAAACAAATAAGGCCTTCATAAATTGTACTTAAGACTTAATTGTTCATTTTAATATTTAGAACCTCTTTTATTCTTCTTCTGAGTTATCGCGAATATTTATCAATTATTTCAATATTCGAAAAGTCAAATTGATACCTTCTTGTTATTGAATGTTTCGAGAGTTCAGTATCATTTCTGGATCAGTTGCCACAATAAGAAAATGACCATAAATTATATTTTTTATTCTCTGTTTCGTTCAAGCAATGGATTTGATGAATTTGATTTGATTCACTACACGAAATCCTTCGATACATTCGATAAATTCAGCTTGTCTTCCTTATCTTTGAGTTTACTAATGTAACAAGAATTGATGTCGGGTATGTATGTTTTTATCAAATATTTTAACTTGGGCGAAATCTCTGGGGAGATACGTTGTGGACTCGAATTTCTATCGGTTTATTCACGTATGTAAACTTCTTCTCATAAATGTCTAAAAATCTTTAGGTAGTTGTTATTTCTTGAAATTCCGAAAGCTCGCTTTTTAATTTCTTTCCAGAGGGACAAAACTATTAGTACGATTCAATTTTTGATCAATAGAAAAACCCCAACTATCTGATTTTGTATGAAAAAATGGCCAACTTCGGAAATGTATATTTTCTCAGCCTTTTAAGACACAGATCTACACTAGGTCGCATTTTTTAGAAAATTTTACGGTGAACAAGATGGGTTTTTTAAAATGTTTTTTCTAGCTTCAGTAATTCATCAGTAAATTTCAAAATTCGGGAACATGTTAAATTTTGCACTTTTTAAGAAAACTTCAAATTGAGGTGTGAAGCAAGGAAATCGTCCTGGAGCGTCGCGCTATAGCAATCGATAGGAAAAAAATTGGTCATCTTCCATTTTGTTTGAGTTGTTCGCTATTTTTGGACAAAAAACGTGGTTTTTTACGTGCTCATGTAAAAAATTGATCACTCTCTTTCTCGATTTTACCATACAACAACAATTGTACAAAAATTTTACCGATAAACCAAGTATCAATACGTTATTCGAAGCCAAACTGCCACAACACCTGTGAAATGGGAAGGAAAAAAGTTGGCCAAACCAGGTGGTTGAGTTTTTTTGTGGGGGTATATAATATACTTGAAATATTTGTCCGACCTATTTTCTTTTGTATACCACCTATGCATTAAGGGCATCACAGTGCCCTCTGATCACTTCCACTTCTACTATATAAGGAATCCAGCCACTGTTTTCAACTTCATACGTGAATTGTATGTTCTCGTGTTAACTATGAAAATGGTTGAGGAGATATTAATTTTATATCATTGTAGACAGAATAATGCTAACTGTTCTAATCGTGCTAGGTTTGTTCAAATTGAGAGGTTTGTGACGAAAGTCCAATAAGACCACGTTTTGAGGTCTATTAATCGTTGTGCCGGTATGTTATTTCCTAAATTTTTAAAAGTACTCTTTGTAGAATGATTATTCAGAGATCGTGAGACGCGGTCTGCTGTGAGGTAGGTTTTAGATAAACATTTTCTTTATCGGGCCAACGTTTCGATCTTTACTGAGATCATCTTCAGGGATGAAAGTGTTTGTTTTCTGCGTAATTGTGCCATTCCTGTGTTCGTGTTGAGAATGTCCTCACACGAACACAAGAATGACACATCTACACGGAAAAGAAACACTTTTAGCCCTGAAGATGATCTCAATAAAGATCGAAGATCGTTGGTACGATAACGAAATTTTTTTTCTGAAACCTAAGTCATACCAGACCGCACCTCACGATCTCTGAATAATCATCGACTAACGGTCACTAATCACCACACATTTCTTTGTAGAATAACTTGTAGAAGTCATGAGCAAGAACTTTAAAAAATTATTAAAAAACCTACGAATGGCCTTTGCGAACATTTTAGCCCATTTTGAATATGATCATCTACGTAGGTTGTTCACGTATATTTGGTTATTTTAATAGCACAATAGGGGGCGTGGGTGGCCGCAACGGTTTGCGCGTTGACACGGCGCTCATCACTGTAAGGTAAAGGTCCCGGGTTCGAATCCAGCGGCCCTGACATTCGAACCCGACATACTTACAAATGGGTTTGTTTTCAAAAACAACGGCACCCTGAGGGTTTATATGACCTCTGCTGTTGCGACCCTCGTAAAAGTAATAAAAAATAAAAAATTAAATACACAATAACATCTTCAATATGATTCCGCGGTTATTACCCTATGAAATCAGTCCAAATTTGGAAATAAAGAGGAAAAAATGAAATTGTTTCTTCTTTTTTGTATTATTTTAATACAGTAAATACAGTGAACTTTGCTTATATAATATAATAACCAAAGTTAATAAAATCTAAAGGGTTCCACTTTCAAGGGTTGAATTTAAATATTTTTTACGAAAAAGGTTTTCTAAATAATTAAGCAATATTTAGTATAAAAATTCTTGCAAAATATTTTTGTTAGGATATTTTGATTTATCCTGTCAGTAGGACTCACAAAGAATACCATTGTTTATAAAAATAAAAATAAACTTTTCTCCGAGTGAGGGAAAAAGTAACATTATACTCAACTCTCTGAATAAAATATCCCTTTAGCAACTATTCCTACTTCAACTTTTTTGTTTTTAAATAAATTATCAACCGTTCTGCCATTCCGGCTCATATTTTTTTGTCTGCGCTAATAATTGAGCTGGAACCGAGAAGAAAATTGGTCAAAATAAGTCGGATTGAGATGAAGTCATCCTTTATTTAAAATTGGGAGCCTTTACCTTTCAAATAAACCTGACAGGTTGGCGTTCGGTCAGAATATCGTTTACTGACCCTTCACACATCGCATTAGCCCTGCCGCTCGTCAATCAGTCTGACGCCAAACATGAATTTCTTTTCAGAGAAATGGAAAATGCCAATATGCCTTTTCCCACACCGACGAGTCAATTTCGGGTTTTTCAACCACTTTCCGGAATTAGTATGGAAACGATGCGGAAACACTAGGAGTGTGGAAGTTGACAGTTTCTGTTTGAATGCTTTGTTCAAAATTAGTATTACTTTTGTTAATTTGTGTAAAATATTTGGTTTTATTTGTAGTAATGGTGCAAAAATATTGCAAGTTTTGAAATAGCAGTCAAAATAAATTTAATTTTTATAAAATAAACCAAATTTATTCGAAATATTTTCCATCACAATCTATGGATCGTTGCCAACATGTAATAAGCGCTTTTATCCCTCTGACATAAAAATCTTTATTTCGATTTATAATAGAGTCTTGGAAGGCGTTTTCTCTAAAAAATTTATACCTTAAGAAGTGATCGAAATGCCAAAAGCCGAGAACACTTACCCCATGCAACGCTACCCGACGCCTTGTCGCGTTTTGGTAGGGTGTGCACATCTATGCGATGTCAAGTGCACGTGCAGTCACACAGCGTGTATCATAATAATCACTATCACAATCGCAACGCCTCTTTTGTTCTTAATGCATTTTTTTAAGCAAAACCATGTAATAAATTGTTAGTTAAATTTAATTGTTTTAAATAAAGTTATTCCGGTATTTTGATAATTTTCTTCCTAACCTTCATAATTAAATAATTTTTATAAAAACTTAAGAATTTTTGATCTCGTTTAATTTGATTTACATTAAAATAGGAATGTTGTAATTAATATAACGACAAAATTACATATACTTAGTTTGAAATAAACTACAAAAAATATGAGTGGCCTGTTCTGACGCTACTCGACGAAAATGGTGTAATTTTATGAGCAAAACCATGTAATAAAGTGTTAGTTAAATTTAATTGTTCTAAATAAAGTTATTCCGGTATTTTGATAATGTTCTTCCTAATTTTCAAAATTAAATAATTTTTATAAAAACTTAAGAATTTTTGATCTCGTTTAATTTGGTTTACATTAAAATAGGAATGTTGTAATTAATATAACGACAAGATTACATATACATGGTTTGAAATAAACTACAAAAAATATGAGTGGCCTGTTCTGACGCTACTCGACGAAAATGGTGTAATTTTATGAGCAAAACCACTTAATAAAGTGTTATTTAAATTTTATGAGCAAAACCGTTTAATAAATTGTTAGTTAAATTCATTATATCAAAAAATGGTATTCCGGTGTTTTGATCAATTTTCTACCAAACCAATAAAAACAATTTTTTTAAAAATAAAAACGAATGAATTTTTGATCTTGTTTAATTTGGTTTACATTAAAATAGGAATGTTGAAATTAATATCACGACAATAATACATGTAGTTTGAATAAAAATATGAGTTCGGTTCTTTTGTCAACGACTGTACTCGATGTTACCGTCGAAAATCTGGACAGTGGGAATCGCAGAGCGTTGAGGAGGGTAGCTTTGCGCGGCATTGGCCAGATGTGCAGGGGGGTAATACAATCTTATGGAAAATTGGACTGTGGATTTGCGTCGGGTAGCATCGGGTAGCGCCGCACAGCGTTGCAACGGCGGGTGTGTTCCATCTTTACCAATGCTGGACAAAGACGTTGCAGTTTCCCATGCATTTTGTCAATTTCTCAGCAGTATTTCTCGATAGTTTTAACAGTTTTAATTGAAGAAATTATAGTAAACAACCCCAGCAGTACACCATCAAACAATCACCATAAGAGTGGTGATTAGTGACCGTTAGTCGATGACTATTCAGAAAAACATTTTCTTTATCGTGCCATCGTTTCGATCTTTATTGAGATCATCTTCAGGGCCTGGGATTTACAAACATTGTTTAAATTTATCAAATACATGTAGGATGTGGAAACAAGTGAATTTATACAGTGCAAAATATATTTTATATTCAATCAAAGTATTTCTACTCACTCAAAGTGTTTGTCTTCTGTGTAATTGTGCCATTCTTGCGTGTTGTGTTGAGAGTGCCAGTGAGATATTTCTGTTTTATGTTTATATACGTTGGATTTTGAAGGGGTGGGAAAGGAAGCCAGTATAGAAAGACATTTTTATATAAGGAGTCGGCGTCTTTGAGGTGAAAAGAGCCGACGAAGGGAAAAAGCGTTGGTAATAGTTCAAAACGTTGACACGATAAAGAAAATATTTTTCTGAAACCTACATCACACCAGACCGCATCTCACGATCTCCAAATAATAATCCATAAATTTGATTTGATGATTTAGTTTTGTTTACATGACAAGCACATGCGAAAACATAACAAATTTTCAAAACTGCTTTAATTCTGCACCAACACAATAATAATGTACACTCAGCCATCCGTATGATACCAAAATCTACATTTCATCCAACGTCCTACAGATCCGTCAGTATGTTACCTACTCTGTACCACGTGTACACAGCTGACCTCCCATCCTCAAACCACCACCTTTGGCGATACAGCGACCCTCTCAAGTAACTCTGATCCAATAATTTCCATATGAAACTTTTAACATCTCACCCAACTGGGGCCTTGATTTGAAAAGGAGAGAATAATATTCAATCCAGAAAAATCCACTGACAAACCTTCACTATCATTCCAGTCTATTAATAATATTCCTCTCCAATTATGGACAATCTAAGACTGTACATGGACAAACTCTTGAATGTGGAATCCCCACAGAGCATTTTCGCGACTAACCGACGAAAATCTGGATAGTGAGGATCGCAGAGCGTAGAGTAGGGTAGCTCGCGTAGTATCGGGCAGAAATCCAAGGGGGTAATACAATCTTATGGAAAAATGGACTTTGGATTTGCGTTGGGTCGCATAGCGTTGCATCGGATGTGCTCCCAGCTGTAATAAGCGTTTTTATCCATCTGACATAAAAATCTTTATTTCGATTTACATAGAGTCTTGGAAGGCGTTTTCTCCAAAAATGTTATCCGTCAAGACGTGATCAAAACGCCTAAAAACGCGAGGTCTGTAGGCAAGAGGTCGGTTGAATATAGAGAGTGAGGTAAGGTTTCATGTCCTAAGTTCCGCAGGGTTGGTATTGCGACATGTCCCTGGCATCATCTAAACTGCCCGGTAAATAATCATCAGAAAAATCCTTGAAAAATTAATGAGTCCAACTAAACAACCCACACCAATCTAAATAATCTTTTGTCCAAGATGTACGTTCCACGTAACATACGGCAAATTTCATAAACCCTCCCGACAAATATAAATTCTCAAATACAAAAACTCCCGACGAATTACATCAAACCCCTCACTGGTGACACTAGCCTCGATTAAATAGAGAAAAATTGTCGTCTCATTGGAGTAATACCTGGAGTCTCCATTCTTGTTTAGATTGTGTACATATCTATATATTGTCGTTACTTGCTACCTAGTTGAAAGTAGTTGTAATAAACAATAAATATAAAAAAAATTAAAATATATTTTCATTCCTAACTAACAGAAATATTTTTATTTTTCATAACACAAAGCCGTTGCTGCATGATTTCTTTAGAAATGCATTCCCTTTCCTTTAATTTTATTTCAAAAGACGATCGGGGGATGGAACAATTAGAAAGAAAATACTTCCAGCTTTGGAAGAATTCGTCTAATCAGGATTATGAAACTGTAATTACTGATTTGCAAAGGTACAGATTATTAATAATTTATTGTATAATTGCTATGATGAAGGCCGATCACTAACTTTATCTTAGATAATTCCTTTCTTTTACCAGAAGCCTAATGAGATTGTAGAATAAAATATGTGTTTGTGTATAAATTTGCCTTTTTCGCATATGTTCATGTAGTCATTCACAAAATCATTGATAACGTTTAAAGGGCATTAGTTTTACTTTTGGCTTAGGACACAAAAATTATACCAGATTTCTTAAGCATGCAAAATTATGGTGGAGCAGAAATTTTCGTACAAGTGGCACAGTCAATGGGATCTAGCATTCGGCTATGTAAGTCCGTATTCATGTCTAGGGCAGATTTGGCATTTTACTCATTTTCTCTTTCTTCAGAGCGCTACGGTTTCCAAATACACACGAGACGCTCTTCTCGTGTCCACACGTTTTCTTCTTTATCGCTTAAAATTTGGATAACTCGTTAAAATGTTCTAATGCTAATCATATGGCAGTGTAGAAAGTGAAGTGGACGAGTAGAGTGTAAAATTCTTTCTTTTATCCTTCTTGGACGAAATTCCTAATCAAAAATTATATTTTTTCGCTTTATATCCCTTTTAATGTCAGAGCTTTTATGGATAACGTATTTCTGAAAGCTGCGGCCTTCGAGTGGTAACTATTCACGTCTCATTTCTTTTTTTAAATCTTTATCCCTTCTGCATACGACAGGGGGGTTTTGTATTAAGAAATTGATTTGGGCCAATCGAAATCATTGCAGCTTCTTTATTTTGCTCTTTTCCAGTGGGTTTGATCCGAACAAGTACACTTACCCTACCAAAAAATCTTGCATCCTGAAATTGCCACCTTGGCTTGTTAGATTGGTTAGGACGTTTTGGTGGAAGGCGGTGAGTACTGTTTTAAAATACATAAAGTTCAATATCATGGTGTATCCGTGTGCTAAAACACCGTTAAAAATAATGGTAATAATCTCTGGAAATATCTACCAAAAGCCACTGCGTGCTATGTTTACTTCCTTTCCGTCGTTTCTCCAAAATACATGAAACACAAACATTACGACCGTCGATGGGAAAAGAACATTATAATATCAGTTAAATTGTTATTTATCAGATGGCTTCAATAAATTATTACTCCCAAGTTTTACCTTTTGGTTTATTTTCACAGCTTTAGAAATTGTCCATAAACCTTTACATCCAAACTAATCCGACTTATGTACGATATTCGTCTTTTTATGCCAGTTGTAACATCAACATACAAAAATATGCTATCTAAGTTAAAAACGATCATGATATTCCAAAATATATCAAAAGAAGTAAAAATTAAATTTGCCCAAATTTGCTAATAGTTGAAATTATTTAACATGGGTCAATTTTATCGGTTAATTCCATAAATAAGAACTAAATGATAATTAATACAGAAGCTTCTATTCAACTGACAGCATTCGCTTAAAGCCATGAATAATTTCTTAAATAAAATAATATAATGCTTAAGAGACATATTTTCTTGGTGTATTGGTACCTTATGTTGTTAAATAGCCTACATACAGGAAAAAAGTGGTCAATAGAGAAAATAACAGATAATCGTTAAATTTTTGACGTAGTCTATGAAACATTACAAAAAAAAAATACTGTTGGTAGTTAAGTAGTTGTTTTGAAATCCACAGAGCAGTCACAGAAATACAATTTTGGCACAAATTTTAAGAAAAAAGCTTTTCCTGTGGAGTACGTCACTTCATTTTGCCAATAATATCGTAGTAGATCAATATTATTGAGCAAATTTTAAACAGTTTAATCCTTTGTAAATATTCAATAACTTTACTTTTTGCTAACATTTATTGTAAAAAATTAGCTAGATTTGCTGTAGTGGCTATGGTGTAAACCAGATAACTTATTTGGGTCCACATTACGGGCAATGAGAGACCCTGTCCGCATTAGAAATATGATGCTGAGCTTTATACAGGTTGATTTGCTACGAAATACAAAACAGATGTGGGTGATAGTGGATCGTAAAATGGATAAAAATGTCGCAAAGAACGGTTTTTTATCTCGCTTCATCCAAAAGATATATTTTTCTTCAAAAAAGGACTTGCTTACATAAAAACTATTTCCCTTACCTTTGTTATAGTGCCTAAATAACTAGACTTCTACATACAGTGGACTGTCGTCGAAAAGATATGATTTTTTCTGAGAAAAAAAAACTTACTACATAAAAACAAACAAATTTTTCCATTATCTTGGTTAAAGTGTTTAGATAATTAGTCTTCCACATACAGTAGACTGTACAATGGAGAAAAAACCGCAAATTTTTTTTTTACCTCTTCTAAATAATTAGTCGTCTACATACAGTAGATTGTAAAATGGGGAAAAATACAGCAAAAATGTTTTTTTTTATCTCCCTCCATCGAAAAGATATGATTTTTCTGGAAAAACAAACATATTTGTACCTTACCTTTGTTAAAGTGTGTAAATAATTAGTCTTCCATATACAGTAGACTGTACAATGGAGAAAAAACCGCAAATTTGTTTTTTTTTACCTCTTTTAAATAATTAGTCGTCTACATACAGTAGATTGTAAAATGGGGAAAAATACTGCAAAAATGTTTTTTTTATCTCCCTCCATCGAAAAGATATGATTTTTCTGGAAAAAACGAACTTGCTACATAAAAAACATATTTTTCCCTTACCTTTGTTAAACTGTCTAAATAATTAGGCGCCTACATACAGTGGGCTGTAAAATAGAGAAAAAATCCGCAAAAATGTTTTTCTTTACCTCCCTCCGTCGAAATGATATGATTTTTTTGGAAAAAAAAACTTACTACATAAAAAGGAACATATTTTTCCCTTACCATGGTTAAAGTGTGTAAATAATTAGTCTTCCACATACAGTAGACTGTACAATGGACAAAAAACCGCAAATATGGTTTTTTACCTCCCTCCATCGAAAAGATATGATTTTTTCTGGAAAAAAACGACCTTACTACATAAAAAACATATTTTCCCCTTACCTTTGTTAAATTGTCTAAATAATTAGCTGTCTACATACAGTAGACAGTAAAATGGAAAAAAATACCGCAAAAATGGTTTTTATCTCACTCTGTGGAAAAGAAATGATATTCTTTTTTTTTAGAAAAAAATTAACTTGCTACAAACATAGCTTCTACATACCTTTGTTAAATTGTCTAAAGAACGAGTCTTTTACATACAGTAGACAGTCAAATGTAAAAAAATGTCGCAAAACTGTTTTTTATCTCACTCTACAGAAAATATATGATATTCTTTTTTTCCCGGAAAAAATGCACTTATTACAAACAAAACATATATTTTCTTTTACCTTTGTTAAATTTCTAAAGATGTGTCTTGTGCTTATAATAGATTGTTAAATGGAGAAAGTCGCCGCGAAAATATATTTTATCTCATTTTGTAGAAAAGATATGATTTTTTCAGAAAAAAAGGATTTAGTACATACAAGAACATATTTTTTCCCCTACCTCTTTTAAATTGTCTAAAGAATCAGCTTTGTACTGAACCCTTTCAATTTGCTTGAAAGCCGTGTCGCTGGCAAAAACCTAAAAAATGTAAACATTGGAGGAGCTTAAAGCGGCCCATAGACGGTCAATATTATTGTACAATATAGATTGCACAATAATTGAACGGTTGCCCCTTAACGTTCAATAATATTGTACAAAATTTTGTTTGTGCAATGAACTGTACCACTTGTTGATAATTCACAAACTGACTGATATTGCGCAATAATGCCAACAGACCGTGCATTGTTTTCCAGGTTGTACAATATATTTTCAACTTTTCGTCAATCATGCAACGTATTGCACAAACTTTCAATATTGTCTATATACGATCAATTAAATTGCACAACCCAAAATATTGTGCAATAATATTGATCTATGGGCCGCTAAAGATACCTCTTGTCCCGAATATAAAGCGGCCCATACACGCTCAATATTATTGCGCAATATTTAGGTTTGTGCAATATAGTTGATCGTGTGTAGTCGAAATTGAAAGGTTGTGCAGTATATTGTGCTAAATTCAAATCCTTGAAAATATATTGTGCAAACGGGAAAAGGTTGTGCCGTCTGTAGGCAATATTGCGCAATATCCCATCAGTCAGTATCAACAGTGGTAGAGTACGCGTCGTCATGGCTGCCAAGGAAGCTGATAGGCAATTCATTTTCGAATTGATTGACGTTTATCGTGGCCTTCCAGCTCTGTGGGATGTGAAGTGTAAAGATTATACTAATCGTGCGAAGAAGGGGGAGCAGTATGAAGTGTTGTTAGAAAAATACCGCGAAAAATATCCGGAGGCTGATAAACAAGAAGTAGTGAAAAAATTAATTCTTTGAGAACAAACTTCCGAAAAGAACTAAAACGGATTCGTGATGCGGAGAAAAGTGGTGCATGTGCGGAGGATGTGGAGCCTTTGCTTTGGTATTTCGAAGAAATGAGGTTTCTACAAACTCAGGATACCCCTACTCCTTCAATCAGCACGATGGACGTATCTGAGGATGGTATTGTGAATCTCAGCAACGAGGATTGTGTACTTTTCCCTATCAATTAGCCACTGTTTGGTCCATTTTCTGCCTTTTTGCGAGTTCTTTTTCTTTTTCGCACTGGCACCCACAGCGATAATCACACAACACAAATCACTATCACTCAACATGACTTCACTACATGAAATTCTGGTTGGAACTAATTGCACAATATATTGCCTTGAAGGTTGTCCGTCTCTGCTCGCGATTGTGCAATATATTGCACAACTATCAATATTGCCTGCATACGATACAATTTATTGCCCAAATCAAAATATTGCGCAATAATATTGAGCAGTGTAGAGCCTCCGTCAAAATATTGTGCAACCCACATTGTGCAATAATATTGTGCGTGTATGGACCCCTTTAAGAAACAAAAATGTTCCAAACCCCTTGAGCTATTTTCATTCTTTTAAGTGATTTTTCTCTTTACTTTAATTAATAGTTTCCATTCATTTTTACCTTTAATAAAAACAATTCGTCGTCAAATATCTTGTAATATTTTTTAAATTTCATTAGTTTTGTGTGTGTGCGTGTGTGTAACAAGTCTTATTTTGACGAAAATTTTTTTAAAAGTGTGATATAGAGTGAGTTAGAAAGTCATTTTTGCGGCATCCCACTTCATTTACAATCTCAGAATCATTCAATTTTTTTATTTCTTAGAGTGAACCACCCTCTATAAAATGCCAGCTAACTGGTAATCATTTCAACGACAAATTACCATTTTTGATCAAAGATAATCGGCGCATAACGGTAAAGGGAGCTTGCTGTGAAACACGATTCACCCAAGATATGCTGACCAATAAAGATTTGGACTGCTGGATTTATTGTTGAATCCTACAATCTTTTGTTAGAATGGAGAGACATCGGAAGGAAGATTTAACCAACTGGCAAACATTTAAAAATTTGACGTAAACTTTCTGTTGACGAAAGGATTGTAAACAGGGTAAACATAAAAAAAATGTGTTTAAATGAACAAAACAACAAGCTGCACTTTAGATTTAAACATTAAATTAATGTAACAATTAATTAATTAATATAAATTTACTGCATGATAACTAAATATAAGTGTTATAATACTGTTTGTTTTTTATTTGTAAATTGCTAACTTTAAAAAAAATATTTTCGTTGATAGGTCATCTTCTGGCACCCTGATCCTCATATTTTCGCTGTATATGACGGACAGGCGTTGGACAGGATTAACAATAAGCATATTTAAATAACGCACATAGAAATACATAAGTAAATTTATAAATATGATTAAAAAAAATAGCAAATATTATAATAATTTAATACAAAGAAATATTTAATGTGTAGCGTCAACTTCGTGGTCCTGTTGGAGAG